GGGGAAGTCTCATGGTTTTTCTCGAGTTGCGGCGGGGACCTGGGGTATGTTCTCGACTTACGGCGGAGATGGCCCTTCAAAACACTAGTTTCTTCAGTGACGTCAGGACTCCTGTCTAGTAACGAGGGACACCTCAGGAATCTCTTCGAGGCTTGGCAGGGCAAAAGGGACGCTTCTCGAGGTGAGGCAGGGCACCCAAGGACCCTTTCCAGTAGCCACAGGGATTTTGGGATTCCTATCAGTATTCAAGAGGAGTCAGGCATCGTCACCTTTTGAAGCAATGAACTCCGCGTGCCTCTCGAGGTGTCAGCGGGATGTGAGGCATTCCGACAAAATGAGGCAGGGACCTAGGGCTTTCTCTAAGGTCTCCACAGGGGATTCAGACATCCCTTCATGTTGTGAGATGAAAGACAAGCCTGTATTCAAGCTACTGCAAGGAAATCCGGCCTCCTTTCAAGTTAGGGCTTCTCGATGTATATTCCCCTTGAGGCAGCAAACTCGGAGTCCCTCCCACATACCTATTGCTAAGAAGCCTCCTCCTGAGGTGCTTCTGGAAAGTTGGCATACGTCTTGAGCCTAAGCCAGGGAATCAGCTCTCATCTCGAGACGATTTGGGGTACACAGAGCATTCCTCGAGTTGCTGGGCTGAAGTTGGTGTTCCTCTAGACTTGGGACAGTGTTCTCGGTGTATCTCTGGAGTTGCCTGAAGGAAGTCGAGCCACCGGTCGTGTTGAATGGGGAACGGGGAATGGCTCTGGGGTCAATGCAGGGGAATCGGGGCTCATCTCGAGTTGATTTGGGGCACATGGAGCAGCTTTGCATTGCTGGGGTGACCTCAGGGTCCGTCTAGACTGGTGACAGTGTTCTTGGGGACTGTCTCGAGATCCATTAAGCAAGTCGAAGCTCCTGACTTGTTTGAATGGGTCACGGAATAGCTCTGCATGCACTGCAGGGGAATGGGGCCTCATCTCGTCTCTAGGGGGAAGTCTCATGGTTTTTCTCGAGTTGCGCATGGACCTGGGTTATGTTCTCGACTTACGGCGGGGATGGCCCTTCAAAACACGAGTTGCTTCAGTGACGTCAGGACTCCTGTCTAGTAATGAGGGACACCTCAGCAATCTCTTCGAGGCTTGGCAGGGCAAAAGGGACGCTTCTCGCGGTAAGCCAGGGCACCCAAGGACCCTTTCCAGTAGCCACAGTGATTTTGGGATTCCTATAAGTATTCAAGAGGAGTCAGGCATCGTCACCTTTTGAAGCAATGAACTCCGCGTGCCTCTCGAGGTATCAGCGGGATGTCAGGCATTCCGTCAAAATGAGGCAGGGACCTAGGGCTTTCTCTAAGGTCTCCACAGGGGATTCAGACATCCCTTCATGTTGTGAGATGAAAGACAAGCCTGTATTCAAGCTACTGCAAGGAAATCCGGCCCCCTTTCAAGTTAGGGCTTCCCGCTGTATATTCCCCTTGAGGCAGCAAACTCGAAGTCCCTCCCACATACCTATTGCTGAGAAGCCTCCTCCTGAGGTGCTTCTGGAAAGTTGGCATACGTCTTGAGCCTAAGCCAGGGAATCAGCTCTCATCTCGAGACGATTTGGGGTACACAGAGCATTCCTCGAGTTGCTGTGCTGAAGTTGGTGTTCCTCTAGACTTGGGACAGTGTTCTCGGGGCATCTCTGGAGTTGCCTGAAGGAAGGCGAGCCTCCGTTCGTGTTGAACGGGGAACGGGGAATGGCTCTGGAGTCAATGCAGGGGAATCGGGCCTCATCTCGAGTTGATGTGGGGCACATGGAGCTGCTTTGCATTGCTGCGGTGACCTCAGGGTCCGTCTAGACTGGTGACAGTGTTCTTGGGGACTGTCTCGAGATCCATTAAGCAAGTCGAAGCTCCTGACTTGTTTGAATGGGATCACGGAATATCTCTGCATGCACTGCAGGGGATTGGGGCCTCATCTCTCCTCTAGGGGGAAGTCTCATGGTTTTTCTCGAGTTGCGGCGGGGACCTGGGGTATGTTCTCGACTTACGGCGGGGATGGCCCTTCAAAACACGAGTTTCTCCAGTGACGTCAGGACTCTTGCCTAGTAACGAGGTACACCTCAGCAATCTCTTCGAGGCTTGGCAGGGCAAAAGGGACGCTTCTCGAGGTGAGGCAGGGCACCCAAGGACCCTTTCCAGTAGCCACAGGGATTTTGGGATTCCTATCAGTATTCAAGAGGAGTCAGGCATCGACACCTTTTGAAGCAATGAACTCCGCGTGCCTCTCGAGGTGTCAGCGGGATGTGAGGATTCCGTCAAAATGAGGCAGGGACCTAGGGCTTCCTCTAAGGTCTCCACAGCAGATTCAGACATCCCTTCATGTTGTGAGATGAAAGACGAGCCTGTATTCAAGCCACTGCAAGGAAATCCGGCCTCCTTTCAAGTTACGGCTTCTCGCTGTATATTCCCCTTGAGGCAGCAAACTCGGGGTCCCTCCCACATACCTATTGCTGAGAGAAGCCTCCTCCTGAGGTGCTTCGGTAAAGTTGGCATACGTCTTGAGCCTAAGCCAGGGAATCAGCTCTCATCTCGAGACGATTTGGGGTACACAGAGCATTCCTTGAGTTGCTGTGCTGAAGTTGGTGGTTCTCTAGACTTGGGACAGTGTTCTCGGGGCATCTCTGGAGTTGCCTGAAGGAAGTCGAGCCACCGGTCGTGTTGAATGGGGTACGGGGAATGGCTCTGGAGTCAATGCAGGGGAATACGGCCTCATCTCGAGTTGATTTGGGGCACATGGAGCTGCTTTGCATTGCTGGGTGACCTTATGGTCCGTCTAGACTGGTGACAGTGTTCTTGGGGACTGTCTCGAGATCCATTAAGCAAGTCGAAGCTCCTGACTTGTTTGAATGGGATCACGGAATAGCTCTGCATGCACTGCAGGGGAATGGGGCCTCATCTCGCCTCTAGGGGGAAGTCTCATGGTATTTCTCGAGTTGCGGCGGGGACCTGGGGTATGTTCTCCACTTACGGCGGGGATGGCCCTTCAAAACACGAGTTTCTTCCGTGACGTCAGGACTCCTGTCTAGTAATGAGGGACACCTCAGCAATCTCTTCGAGGCTTGGCAGGGCATAGGGACGCTTCTCGAGGTGAGCCAGGGCACCCAAGGACCCTTTCCAGTAGCCACAGGGATTTTGGGATTCCTATAACTATTCAAGAGGAGTCAGGCATCGTCACCTTTTCAAGCAGTGAACTCTGCGTGCCTCTCGAGGTGTCAGGGGGATGTGAGGTGTTCCGTCAAAATGAGGCAGGGACCTAGGGCTTCCTCTAAGGTCTCCACAGGGGATTCAGACATCCCTTCATGTTGTCAGATCAAAGACGAGCCTGTATTCAAGCCACTGCAAGGAAATCTGGCCTCCGTTCATATTAGGGCTTCTCCCTGTGTATTCCCCTTGAGGCAGCAAACTCGGGGTCCCTCCCACATACCTATTGCTGAGAGAAGCCTCCTCCTCAGGTGCTTCTGGAAAGTTGGAATACGTCTTGAGCCTAAGCCAGGGAATCAGCTCTCATCTCGAGATGATTTGGGGTACACGGAGCATTCCTCGAGTTGCTGTGCTGAAGTTGATGTTCCTCTAGACTTGGGACAGTGTTCTCGGGGCATCTCTGGAGTTGCCTGAAGGAAGTCGAGCCACCGGTCGTGTTGAATGGGGAACGGGGAATGGCTCTGGAGTCAATGCAGGGGAATCCGGCCTCATCTCGAGTTGATTTGGGGCACATGGAGCTGCTTTGCATTGCTGGGTGACCTCAGGGTCCGTCTAGACTGGTGACAGTGTTCTTGGGGACTGTCTCGAGATCCATTAACCAAGTCGAAGCTCCTGACTTGTTTGAATGGGATCACGGAATAGCTCTGCATGCACTGCAGGGGAATGGGGCCTCATCTCGCCTCTAGTGGGAAGTCTCACGGTTTTTCTCGAGTTGCGGCGGGGACCTGGGATATGTTCTCGACTTACGGCGGGGATGGCCCTTCAAAACACGAGTTTCTCCAGTGACGTCAGGACTCCTGCCTAGTAACGAGGGACACCTCAGCAATCTCTTCGAGGCTTGGCAGGGCAAAAGGGACGCTTATCGAGGTGAGGCAGGGCACCCAAGGACCCTTTCCAGAAGCCACAGGGATTTTGGGATTCCTATCAGTATACAAGAGGAGTCAGGCCTCGTCACCTTTTGAAGCAATGAACTCCGCGTGCCTCTCGAGGTGTCAGCGGGATGTGAGGATTCCGTCAAAATGAGGCAGGGACCTAGGGATTTCTCTAAGGTCTCCACAGCGGATTCAGACATCCCTTCATGTTGTGAGATGAAAGACGAGCCTGTATTCAAGCCACTGCAAGGAAATCCGGCCTCCTTTCAAGTTAGGGCTTCTCGCTGTATATTCCCCTTGAGGCAGCAAACTCGGGGTCCCTCCCACATACCTATTGCTGAGAGAAGCCTCCTCCTGAGATGCTTCTGGAAAGTTGGCATACGTCTTGAGCTTAAGCCAGGGAATCAGCTCTCATCTCGAGACGATTTGGCATACACAGAGCATTCCTCGAGTTGCTGTGCTGAAGTTGGTGGTCCTCTAGGCTTGTGACAGTGTTCTCGGGGCATCTCTGGAGTTGCCTGAAGGAAGTCGATCCACCGGTCGTGTTGAATGGGGAACAGGGAATGGCTCTGGAGTCAATGCAGGGGAATCCGGCCTCATCTCGAGTTGATTTGGGGCACATGGAGCTGCTTTGCATTGCTGGGTGACCTCAGGGTCCGTCTAGACTGGTGACAGTGTTCTTGGGGACTGTCTCGAGATCCATTAAGCAAGTCGAAGCTCCTGACTTGTTTGAATGGGATCACGGAATAGCTCTGCATGCACTGCAGGGGAATGGGGCCTCATCTCGCCTCTAGGGGGAAGTCTCATGGTTTTTCTCGAGTTGCGGCGGGGACCTGGGGTATGTTCTCGACTTACGGCGGGGATGGCCCTTCAAAACACGAGTTTCTTCCGTGACGTCAGGACTCCTGTCTAGTAATGAGGGACACCTCAGCAATCTCTTCGAGGCTTGGCAGGGCAAAAGGGACGCTTCTCGAGGTGAGCCAGGGCACCCAAGGACCCTTTCCAGTAGCCACAGGGATTTTGGGATTCCTATAAGTATTCAAGAGGAGTCAGGCATCGTCACCTTTTCAAGCAATGAACTCCGCGTGCCTCTCGAGGTGTCAGGGGGATGTGAGGTATTCCGTCAAAATGAGGCAGGGACCTAGGGCTTCCTCTAAGGTCTCCACAGGGGATTCAGACATCCCTTCATGTTGTCAGATCAAAGACGAGCCTGTATTCAAGCCACTGCAAGGAAATCTGGCCTCCGTTCATATTAGGGCTTCTCCCTGTGTATTCCCCTTGAGGCAGCAAACTCGGGGTGGCTCCCACATACCTATTGCTGAGAGAAGCCTCCTCCTGAGGTGCTTCTGGAAAGTTGGAATACGTCTTGAGCCTAAGCCAGGGAATCAGCTCTCATCTCGAGATGATTTGGGGAACACGGAGCATTCCTCGAGTTGCTGTGCTGAAGTTGGTGTTCCTCTAGACTTGGGACAGTGTTCTCGGGGCATCTCTGGGGTTGCCTGAAGGAAGTCGAGCCACCGGTCGTGTTGAATGGGGAACGGGGAATGGCTCTGGAGTCAATGCAGGGGAATCCGGCCTCATCTCGAGTTGATTTGGGGCACATGGAGCTGCTTTGCATTGCTGGGTGACCTCAGGGTCCGTCTAGACTGGTGACAGTGTTTTTGGGGACTGTCTCGAGATCCATTAAGCAAGTCGAAGCTCATGACTTGTTTGAATGGGATCACGGAATAGCTCTGCATGCACTGCAGGGGAATGGGGCCTCATCTCGCCTCTAGGGGGAAGTCTCACGGTTTTTCTCGAGTTGCGGCGGGGACCTGGGGTATGTTCTCGACTACGGCGGGGATGGCCCTTCAAAACACGAGTTTCTCCAGTGACGTCAGGACTCCTGTCTAGTAACGAGGGACACCTCAGCAATCTCTTCGAGGCTTGGCAGGGCAAAAGGGACGCTTCTCGAGGTGAGGCAGGGCACCCAAGGACCCTTTCCAGTAGCCACAGGGATTTTGGGATTCCTATCAGTATTCAAGAGGAGTCAGGCATCGACACCTTTTGAAGCAATGAACTCCGCGTGCCTCTCGAGGTGTCAGAGGGATGTGAGGATTCCGTCAAAATGAGGCAGGGACCTAGGGCTTCCTCTAAGGTCTCCACAGCGGATTCAGACATCCCTTCATGTTGTGAGATGAAAGACGAGCCTGTATTCAAGCCACTGCAAGGAAATCCGGCCTCCTTTCAAGTTAGGGCTTCTCGCTGTATATTCCCCTTGAGGCAGCAAACTCGGGGTCCCTCCCACATACCTATTGCTGAGAGAAGCCTCCTCCTGAGGTGCTTCGGGAAAGTTGGCATACGTCTTGAGCCTAAGCCAGGGAATCAGCTCTCATCTCGAGACGATTTGGGGTACACAGAGCATTCCTCGAGTTGCTGTGCTGAAGTTGGTGGTCCTCTAGCCTTGGGACAGTGTTCTCGGGGCATCTCTGGAGTTGCCTGAAGGAAGCCGAGCCACCGGTCGTGTTGAATGGGGAACGGGAAATGGCTCTGGAGTCAATGCAGGGGAATACGGCCTCATCTCGAGTTGATTTGGGGCACATGGAGCTGCTTTGCATTGCTGGGTGACCTTATGGTCCGTCTAGACTGGTGACAGTGTTCTTGGGGACTGTCTCGAGATCCATTAAGCAAGTCGAAGCTCCTGACTTGTTTGAATGGGATCACGGAATAGCTCTGCATGCACTGCAGGGGAATGGGGCCTCATCTCGCCTCTAGGGGGAAGTCTCACGGTTTTTCTCGAGTTGCGGCGGGGACCTGGGGTATGTTCTCGACTTACGGCGGGGATGGCCCTTCAAAACACGAGTTTCTCCAATGACGTCAGGACTCCTGCCTAGCAACGAGGGACACCTCAGCAATCTCTTCGAGGCTTGGCAGGGCAAAAGGGACGCTTCTCGAGGTGAGGCAGGGCACCCAAGGACCCTTTCCAGAAGCCACAGGGATTTTGGGATTCCTATCAGTATTCAAGAGGAGTCAGGCATCGTCACCTTTTGAAACAATGAACTCCGCGTGCCTCTCGAGGTGTCAGCGGGATGTGAGGATTCCATCAAAATGAGGCGGGGACCTAGGGATTTCTCTAAGGTCTCCACAGCGGATTCAGACATCCCTTCATGTTGTCAGATCAAAGACGAGCCTGTATTCAAGCCACTGCAAGGAAATCCGGCCTCCTTTCAAGTTAGGGCTTCTCGCTGTATATTCCCCTTGAGGCAGCAAACTCGGGGTCCCTCCCACATACCTATTGCTGAGAGAAGCCTCCTCCTGAGGTGCTTCTGGAAAGTTGGCATACGTCTTGAGCCTAAGCCAGGGAATCAGCTCTCATCTCGAGACGATTTGGCATACACAGAGCATTCCTCGAGTTGCTGTGCTGAAGTTGGTGGTCCTCTAGGCTTGGGACAGTGTTCTCGGGGCATCTCTGGAGTTGCCTGAAGGAAGTCGATCCACCGGTCGTGTTGAATGGGGAACAGGGAATGGCTCTGGAGTCAATGCAGGGGAATCCGGCCTCATCTCGAGTTGATTTGGGGCACATGGAGCTGCTTTGCATTGCTGGGTGACCTCAGGGTCCGTCTAGACTGGTGACAGTGTTCTTGGGGACTGTTTCGAGATCCATTAAGCAAGTCGAAGCTCCTGACTTGTTTGAATGGGATCACGGAATAGCTCTGCATGCACTGCAGGGGAATGGGGCCTCATCTCGCCTCTAGGGGGAAGTCTCACGGTTTTTCTCGAGTTGCAGCGGGGCCCTGGGGTATGTTCTCGACTTACGGCGGGGATGGCACTTCAAAACACGAGTTTCTCCAGTGACGTCAGGACTCCTGCCTAGTAACGAGGGACACCTCAGGAATCTCTTCGAGGCTTGGCAGGGCAAAAGGGACGCTTCTCGAGGTGAGGCCGGGCACCCAAGGACCCTTTCCAGTAGCCACAGGGATTTTGGAATTCCTATAAGTATTCAAGAGGAGGCAGGCATCGTCACCTTTTCAAGCAATGAACTCTGCGTGCCTCTCGAGGTGTCAGGGGGATGTGAGGTATTCCGTCAAAATGAGGCAGGGACCTAGGGCTTCCTCTAAGGTCTCTACAGGGGATTCAGACATCCCTTCATGTTGTGAGATCAAAGACGAGGCTGTATTCAAGCCACTGCAAGGAAATCTGGCCTCCGTTCACATTAGGGCTTCTCCCTGTGTATTCCCCTTGAGGCAGCAAACTCGGGGTCCCTCCCACATACCTATTGCTGAGAGAAGCCTCCTCCTGAGGTGCTTCTGGAAAGTTGGCATACGTCTTGAGCCTAAGCCAGGGAATCAGCTCTCATCTCGAGATGATTTGGGGTACATGGAGCATTCCTCGAGTTGCTCTGCTGAAATTGGTGTTCCTCTAGACTTGGGACAGTGTTCTCGGGGCATCTCTGGAGTTGCCTGAAGGAAGTCGAGCCACCGGTCGTGTTGAACGGGGAACGGGGAATGGCTCTGGAGTCAATGCAGGGGAATCGGGCCTCATCTCGAGTTGATTTGGGGCACATGGAGCAGCTTTGCGTTGCTGGGGTGACCTCAGGGTCCATCTAGACTGGTGACAGTGTTCTTGGGGACTGTCTCGAGATCCATTAAGCAAGTCGAAGCGCCTGACTTGTTTGAATGGGATCACGGAAGAGCTCTGCATGCACTGCAGGGGAATGGGGCCTCATCTCGCCTCTAGGGGGAAGTCTCATGGTTTTTCTCGAGTTGCGGCGGCGACCTGGGGTATATTCTCGACTTACGGCGGGGATGGCCCTTCAAAACACGAGTTTCTTCAGTGACGTCAGGACTCCTGCCTAGTAACGAGGGACACCTCAGGAATCTCTTCGAGGCTTGGCAGGGCAAAAGGGACGCTTCTCGAGGTGAGGCAGGGCACCCAAGGACCCTTTCCAGTAGCCACAGGGATTTTGGGATTCCTATCAGTATTCAAGAGGAGTCAGGCATCGTCACCTTTTGAAACAATGAACTCCGCGTGCCTCTCGAGGTGTCAGCGGGATGTGAGGCATTCCGTCAAAATGAGGCAGGGACCTAGGGCTTTCTCTAAGGTCTCCACAGGGGATTCAGACATCCCTTCATGTTGTGAGATGAAAGACAAGCCTGTATTCAAGCTACTGCAAGGAAATCCGGCCTCCTTTCAAGTTAGGGCTTCTCGATGTATATTCCCCTTGAGGCAGCAAACTCGGAGTCCCTCCCACATACCTATTGCTGAGAAGCCTCCTCCTGAGGTGCTTCTGGAAATTTGGCATACGTCTTGAGCCTAAGCCAGGGAATCAGCTCTCATCTCGAGACGATTTGGGGTACACAGATCATTCCTCGAGTTGCTGTGCTGAAGTTGGTGTTCCTCTAGACTTGGGAGAGTGTTCTCGGGGCATCTCTGGAGTTGCCTGAAGGAAGGCGAGCCTCCGTTCGTGTTGAACGGGGAACGAGGAATGGCTCTGGAGTCAATGCAGGGAAATCGGGCCTCATCTCGAGTTGATTTGGGGCAAATGGAGCTGCTTTGCTTTGCTGGGGTGACCTTAGGGTCCGTCTAGACTGGTGACAGTGTTCTTGGGGACTGTCTCGAGATCCATTAAGCAAGTCGAAGCTCCTGACTTGTTTGAATGGGATCACGGAATAGCTCTGCATGCACTGCAGGGGAATGGGGCCTCATCTCGCCTATAGGGGGATGTCTCATGCTTTTTCTCGAGTTGCGGCGGGGACCTGGGGTATGTTCTCGACTTACGGTGGGGATGGCCCTTCAAACACGAGTTTCTTCAGTGACGTCAGGACTCCTGTCTAGTAACGAGGGACACCTCAGCAATCTCTTCGAGGCTTGGCAGGGCAAAAGGGACGCTTCTCGAGGTGAGCCAGGGCACCCAAGGACCCTTTCCAGTAGCAACAGGGATTTTGGGATTCCTATAAGTATTCAAGAGGAGTCAGGCATCGTCACCTTTTGAAGCAATGAACTCTGCGTGCCTCTCGAGGTGTCAGGGGGATGTGAGGTATTCCGTCAAAATGAGGCAGGGACCTAGGGCTTCCTCTAAGGTCTCCACAGGGGATTCAGACATCCCTTCATGTTGTCAGATCAAAGACGAGCCTGTATTCAACCCTCTGCAAGGAAATCTGGCCTCCGTTCACATTAGGGCTTCTCCCTGTGTATTCCCCTTGAGGCAGCAAACACGGGGTCCCTCCCACAAACCTATTGCTGAGAGAAGCCTCCTCCTGAGATGCTTCTGGAAAGTTGGCATACGTCTTGAGCCTAAGCCAGGGAATCAGCTCTCATCTCGAGATGATTTGGGGTACACGGATCATTCCTCGAGTTGCTGTGCTGTAGTAGGTGTTCCTCTAGCCTTGGGACATTGTTCTCGGGGAATCTCTGGAGTTGCCTGAAGGAAGTCGAGCCACCGGTCGTCTTGAATGGGGAACGGGGAATGGCTCTGGAGTCAATGCAGGGGAATCCGGCCTCATCTCGAGTTGATTTGGGGCACATGGAGCAGCTTTGCGTTGCTGGGGTGACCTCAGGGTCCGTCTAGACTGGTGACACTGTTCTTGGGGACTGTCTCGAGATCCATTAAGCAAGTCGAAGCTCCTGACTTGTTTGAATGGGATCACGGAATAGCTCTGCATGCACTCCAGGGGAATGGGGCTTCATGTCGCCTCTAGGGGGAAGTCTCACGGTTTTTCTCGAGTTGCGGCGGGGACCTGGGGTATGTTCTCGACTTACGGCGGGGATGGCCCTTCAAAACACGAGTTTCTCCAGTGACGTCAGGACTCCTGCCTAGTAACGAGGGACACCTCAGGAATCTCTTCGAGGCTTGGCAGGGCAAAAGGGACGCTTCTCGAGGTGAGGCAGGGCACCCAAGGACCCTTTCCAGTAGCCACAGGTGATTTTGGGATTCCTATCAGTATTCAAGAGGAGTCAGGCATCGTCACCTTTTGAAGCAATGAACTCCGCGTGCCTCTCGAGGTGTCAGCGGGATGTGAGGCATTCCGTCAAAATGAGGCAGGGACCTAGGGCTTTCTCTAAGGTCTCCACAGGGGATTCAGACATCCCTTCATGTTGTGAGATGAAAGACAAGCCTGTATTCAAGCTACTGCAAGGAAATCCGGCCTCCTTTCAAGTTAGGGCTTCTCGATGTATATTCCCCTTGAGGCAGCAAACTCGGAGTCCCTCCCACATACCTATTGCTGAGAAGCCTCCTCCTGAGGTGCTTCTGGAAAGTTGGCATACGTCTTGAGCCTAAGCCAGGGAATCAGCTCTCATCTCGAGACGATTTGGGGTACACAGAGCATTCCTCGAGTTGCTGTGCTGAAGTTGGTGTTCCTCTAGACTTGGGACAGTGTTCTCGGGGCATCTCTGGAGTTGCCTGAAGGAAGGCGAGCCTCCGTTCTTGTTGAACGGGGAACGGGGAATGGCTCTGGAGTCAATGCAGGGGAATCGGGCCTCATCTCGAGTTGATTTGGGGCACATGGATCTGCTTTGCGTTGCTGGGGTGACCTCAGGGTCCGTCTAGACTGGTGACAGTGTTCTTGGGGACTGTCTCGAGATCCATTAAGCAAGTCGAAGCTCCTGACTTGTTTGAATGGGATCACGGAATAGCTCTGCATGCACTGCAGGGGAATGGGGCCTCATCTCGCCTCTAGGGGGAAGTCTCATGGTTTTTCTCGAGTTGCGGCGGGGACCTGGGGTATGTTCTCGACTTACTGCGGGGATGGCCCTTCAAAACACGAGTTTCTTCAGTGACTTCAGTACTCCTGTCTAGTAACGAGGGACACCTCAGCAATCTCTTCGAGGCTTGGCAGGGCAAAAGGGACGCTTCTCGAGGTGAGGCCGGGCACCCAAGGACCCTTTCCAGTAGCCACAGGGATTTTGGGATTCCTATCAGTATTCAAGAGGAGTCAGCCATCGTCACCTTTTGAAGCAATGAACTCCGCGTGCCTCTCCAGGTGTCAGCGGGATGTGAGGCATTCAGTCAAAATGAGGCAGGGACCTAGGGCTTTCTCTAAGGTCTCCACAGGGGATTCAGACATCCCTTCATGTTGCGAGATCAAAGACGAGCCTGTATTCAAGCCACTGCAAGGAAATCCGGCCTCCTTTCAAGTTAGGGCTTCTCGCTGTATATTCCCCTTGAGGCAGCAAACTCGGGGTCCCTCCCACATACCTATTGCTGAGAGAAGCCTCCTCCTGAGGTGCTTCTGGAAAGTTGGCATACGTCTTGAGCCTAAGCGAGGGAATCAGCTCTTATCTCGAGATGATTTGGGGTACACGGAGCATTCCTCGAGTTGCTGGGCTGAAGTTGGTGTTCCTCTAGACTTGGGACAGTGTTCTCGGGGCATCTCTGGAGTTGCCTGAAGGAAGGCGAGCCACCGGTCGTGTTGAATGGGGAACGGGGAATGGCTCTGGAGTCAATGCAGGGGAATCGGGCCTCATCTCGAGTTGATTTGGCGCACATGGAGCAGCTTTGCGTTGCTTGGGTGACCTCAGGGTCCGTCTAGACTGGTGACAGTGTTCTTGGGGTCTGTCTCGAGATCCATTAAGCAAGTCGAAGCTCCTGACTTGTTTGAATGGGATCACGGAATAGCTCTGCATGCACTGCAGGGGAATGGGGCCTCAACTCGCCTCTAGGGGGAAGTCTCATGGTTTTTCTCGAGTTGCGGCGGGGACCTGGGGTATGTTCTCGACTTACGGCGGAGATGGCCCTTCAAAACACGAGTTTCTTCAGTGACGTCAGGACTCCTGTCTAGTAACGAGGGACACCTCGGGAATCTCTTCGAGGCTTGGCAGGGCAAAAGGGACGCTTCTCGAGGTGAGGCAGGGCACCCAAGGACCCTTTCCAGTAGCCACAGGGATTTTGGGATTCCTATCAGTATTCAAGAGGAGTCAGGCATCGTCACCTTTTGAAGCAATGAACTCCGCGTGCCTCTCGAGGGGTCAGCGGGATGTGAGGCATTCCGACAAAATGAGGCAGGGACCTAGGGCTTTCTCTAAGGTCTCCACAGGGGATTCAGACATCCCTTCATGTTGTGAGATGAAAGACAAGCCGTATTCAAGCTACTGCAAGGAAATCCGGCCTACTTTCAAGTTAGGGCTTCTCGATGTATATTCCCCTTGAGGCAGCAAACTCGGAGTCCCTCCCACATACCTATTGCTAAGAAGCCTCCTCCTGAGGTGCTTCTGGAAAGTTGGCATACGTCTTGAGCCTAAGAAAGGGAATCAGCTCTCATCTCGAGACGATTTGGGGTACACAGAGCATTCCTCGAGTTGCTGTGCTGAAGTTGGTGTTCCTCTAGACTTGGGACAGTGTTCTCGGGGCATCTCTGGAGTTGCCTGAAGGAAGGCGAGCCACCGGTCGTGTTGAACGGGGAACGGGGAATGGCTCTGGAGTCAATGCAGGGGAATCCGGCCTCATATCGAGTTGATGTGGGGCACATGGCGCTGCTTTGCGTTGCTGCGGTGACCTCAGGGTCCGTCTAGACTGGTGACAGTGTTCTTGGGGACTGTCTCGAGATCCACTAACCAAGTCGAAGCTCATGACTTGTTTGAATGGGATCACGGAATAGCTCTGCATGCACTGCAGGGGAATGGGGTCTCATCTCGCCTGTAGGGGGAAGTCTCACGGTTTTTCTAGAGTTGCGGTGGGGACCTGCGGTATGTTCTCGACTTACGGCGGGGATGGCCCTTCAAAACACGAGTTTCTTCAGTGACGTCAGGACTCCTGTCTAGTAACGAGGGACACCTCAGCAATCTCTCGAGGCTTGGCAGGGCAAAAGGGACGCTTCTCGAGGTGAGGCAGGGCACCCAAGGACCCTTTCCAGTAGCCACAGGGATTTTGGGATTCCTATCAGTATTCAAGAGGAGTCAGGCATCGACACCTTTTGAAGCAATGAACTCCGCGTGCCTCTCGAGGTGTCAGCGGGATGTGAGGATTCCGTCAAAATGAGGCAGGGACCTAGGGCTTCCTCTAAGGTCTCCACAGCGGATTCAGACATCCCTTCATGTTGTGAGATGAAAGACGAGCCTGTATTCAAGCCACTGCAAGGAAATCCGGCCTCCTTTCAAGTTAGGGCTTCTCGCTGTATATTCCCCTTGAGGCAGCAAACTCGGGGTCCCTCCCACATACCTATTGCTGAGAGAAGCCTCCTCCTGAGGTGCTTCGGGAAAGTTGGCATACGTCTTGAGCCTAAGCCAGGGAATCAGCTCTCATCTCGAGACGATTTGGGGTACACAGAGCATTCCTCGAGTTGCTGTGCTGAAGTTGGTGGTCCTCTAGACTTGGGACAGTGTTCTCGGGGCATCTCTGGAGTTGCCTGAAGGAAGTCGAGCCACCGGTCGTGTTGAATGGGGAACGGGGAATGGCTCTGGAGTCAATGCAGGGGAATACGGCCTCATCTCGAGTTGATTTGGGGCACATGGAGCTGCTTTGCATTGCTGGGTGACCTTATGGTCCGTCTAGACTGGTGACAGTGTTCTTGGGGACTGTCTCGAGATCCATTAAGCAAGTCGAAGCTCCTGACTTGTTTGAATGGGATCACGGAATAGCTCTGCATGCACTGCAGGGGAATGGGGCCTCATCTCGCCTCTAGGGGGAAGTCTCATGGTTTTTCTCGAGTTGCGGCGGGGACCTGGGGTATGTTCTCGACTTACGGCGGGGATGGCCCTTCAAAACACGAGTTTCTTCCGTGACGTCAGGACTCCTGTCTAGTAATGAGGGACACCTCAGCAATCTCTTCGAGGCTTGGCAGGGCAAAAGGGACGCTTCTCGAGGTGAGCCAGGGCACCCAAGGACCCTTTCCAGTAGCCACAGGGATTTTGGGATTCCTATAAGTATTCAAGAGGAGTCAGGCATCGTCACCTTTTCAAGCAATGAACTCCGCGTGCCTCTCGAGGTGTCAGGGGGATGTGAGGTATTCCGTCAAAATGAGGCAGGGACCTAGGGCTTCCTCTAAGGTCTCCACAGGGGATTCAGACATCCCTTCATGTTGTCAGATCAAAGACGAGCCTGTATTCAAGCCACTGCAAGGAAATCTGGCCTCCGTTCATATTAGGGCTTCTCCCTGTGTATTCCCCTTGAGGCAGCAAACTCGGGGTGGCTCCCACATACCTATTGCTGAGAGAAGCCTCCTCCTGAGGTGCTTCTGGAAAGTTGGAATACGTCTTGAGCCTAAGCCAGGGAATCAGCTCTCATCTCGAGATGATTTGGGGAACACGGAGCATTCCTCGAGTTGCTGTGCTGAAGTTGGTGTTCCTCTAGACTTGGGACAGTGTTCTCGGGGCATCTCTGGGGTTGCCTGAAGGAAGTCGAGCCACCGGTCGTGTTGAATGGGGAACGGGGAATGGCTCTGGAGTCAATGCAGGGGAATCCGGCCTCATCTCGAGTTGATTTGGGGCACATGGAGCTGCTTTGCATTGCTGGGTGACCTCAGGGTCCGTCTAGACTGGTGACAGTGTTTTTGGGGACTGTCTCGAGATCCATTAAGCAAGTCGAAGCTCATGACTTGTTTGAATGGGATCACGGAATAGCTCTGCATGCACTGCAGGGGAATGGGGCCTCATCTCGCCTCTAGGGGGAAGTCTCACGGTTTTTCTCGAGTTGCGGCGGGGACCTGGGGTATGTTCTCGACTACGGCGGGGATGGCCCTTCAAAACACGAGTTTCTCCAGTGACGTCAGGACTCCTGTCTAGTAACGAGGGACACCTCAGCAATCTCTTCGAGGCTTGGCAGGGCAAAAGGGACGCTTCTCGAGGTGAGGCAGGGCACCCAAGGACCCTTTCCAGTAGCCACAGGGATTTTGGGATTCCTATCAGTATTCAAGAGGAGTCAGGCATCGACACCTTTTGAAGCAATGAACTCCGCGTGCCTCTCGAGGTGTCAGAGGGATGTGAGGATTCCGTCAAAATGAGGCAGGGACCTAGGGCTTCCTCTAAGGTCTCCACAGCGGATTCAGACATCCCTTCATGTTGTGAGATGAAAGACGAGCCTGTATTCAAGCCACTGCAAGGAAATCCGGCCTCCTTTCAAGTTAGGGCTTCTCGCTGTATATTCCCCTTGAGGCAGCAAACTCGGGGTCCCTCCCACATACCTATTGCTGAGAGAAGCCTCCTCCTGAGGTGCTTCGGGAAAGTTGGCATACGTCTTGAGCCTAAGCCAGGGAATCAGCTCTCATCTCGAGACGATTTGGGGTACACAGAGCATTCCTCGAGTTGCTGTGCTGAAGTTGGTGGTCCTCTAGCCTTGGGACAGTGTTCTCGGGGCATCTCTGGAGTTGCCTGAAGGAAGTCGAGCCACCGGTCGTGTTGAATGGGGAACGGGAAATGGCTCTGGAGTCAATGCAGGGGAATACGGCCTCATCTCGAGTTGATTTGGGGCACATGGAGCTGCTTTGCATTGCTGGGTGACCTTATGGTCCGTCTAGACTGGTGACAGTGTTCTTGGGGACTGTCTCGAGATCCATTAAGCAAGTCGAAGCTCCTGACTTGTTTGAATGGGATCACGGAATAGCTCTGCATGCACTGCAGGGGAATGGGGCCTCATCTCGCCTCTAGGGGGAAGTCTCACGGTTTTTCTCGAGTTGCGGCGGGGACCTGGGGTATGTTCTCGACTTACGGCGGGGATGGCCCTTCAAAACACGAGTTTCTCCAATGACGTCAGGACTCCTGCCTAGCAACGAGGGACACCTCAGCAATCTCTTCGAGGCTTGGCAGGGCAAAAGGGACGCTTCTCGAGGTGAGGCAGGGCACCCAAGGACCCTTTCCAGAAGCCACAGGGATTTTGGGATTCCTATCAGTATTCAAGAGGAGTCAGGCATCGTCACCTTTTGAAACAATGAACTCCGCGTGCCTCTCGAGGTGTCAGCGGGATGTGAGGATTCCATCAAAATGAGGCGGGGACCTAGGGATTTCTCTAAGGTCTCCACAGCGGATTCAGACATCCCTTCATGTTGTCAGATCAAAGACGAGCCTGTATTCAAGCCACTGCAAGGAAATCCGGCCTCCTTTCAAGTTAGGGCTTCTCGCTGTATATTCCCCTTGAGGCAGCAAACTCGGGGTCCCTCCCACATACCTATTGCTGAGAGAAGCCTCCTCCTGAGGTGCTTCTGGAAAGTTGGCATACGTCTTGAGCCTAAGCCAGGGAATCAGCTCTCATCTCGAGACGATTTGGCATACACAGAGCATTCCTCGAGTTGCTGTGCTGAAGTTGGTGGTCCTCTAGGCTTGGGACAGTGTTCTCGGGGCATCTCTGGAGTTGCCTGAAGGAAGTCGATCCACCGGTCGTGTTGAATGGGGAACAGGGAATGGCTCTGGAGTCAATGCAGGGGAATCCGGCCTCATCTCGAGTTGATTTGGGGCACATGGAGCTGCTTTGCATTGCTGGGTGACCTCAGGGTCCGTCTAGACTGGTGACAGTGTTCTTGGGGACTGTTTCGAGATCCATTAAGCAAGTCGAAGCTCCTGACTTGTTTGAATGGGATCACGGAATAGCTCTGCATGCACTGCAGGGGAATGGGGCCTCATCTCGCCTCTAGGGGGAAGTCTCACGGTTTTTCTCGAGTTGCAGCGGGGCCCTGGGGTATGTTCTCGACTTACGGCGGGGATGGCACTTCAAAACACGAGTTTCTCCAGTGACGTCAGGACTCCTGCCTAGTAACGAGGGACACCTCAGGAATCTCTTCGAGGCTTGGCAGGGCAAAAGGGACGCTTCTCGAGGTGAGGCCGGGCACCCAAGGACCCTTTCCAGTAGCCACAGGGATTTTGGGATTCCTATCAGTATTCAAGAGGAGTCAGCCATCGTCACCTTTTGAAGCAATGAACTCCGCGTGCCTCTCCAGGTGTCAGCGGGATGTGAGGCATTCAGTCAAAATGAGGCAGGGACCTAGGGCTTCCTCTAAGGTCTCCACAGCGGATTCAGACATCCCTTCATGTTGTGAGATGAAAGACGAGCCTGTATTCAAGCCACTGCAAGGAAATCCGGCCTCCTTTCTAGTTAGGGCTTCTCGCTGTATATTCCCCTTGAGGCAGCAAACTCGGGGTCCCTCCCACATACCTATTGCTGAGAGAAGCCTCCTCCTGAGGTGCTTCGGGAAAGTTGGCATACGTCTTGAGCCTAAGCCAGGGAATCAGCTCTCATCTCGATATGATTTGGGGTTCACGGAGCATTCCTCGAGTTGCTGTGCTGAAGTTGGTGTTCCTCTAGACTTGGGACAGTGTTCTCGGGGCATCTCTGGAGTTGCCTGAAGGAAGTCGAGCCACCGGTCGTGTTGAACGGGGAACGGGGAATGGCTCTGGAGTCAATGCAGGGGAATCGGGCCTCATCTCGAGTTGATTTGGGGCACATGGAGCAGCTTTGCGTTGCTGGGGTGACCTCAGGGTCCATCTAGACTGGTGACAGTGTTCTTGGGGACTGTCTCGAGATCCATTAAGCAAGTCGAAGCTCCTGACTTGTTTGAATGGGATCACGGAATATCTCTGCATGCACTGCAGGGGAATGGGGCCTCATCTCGCCTCTAGGGGGAAGTCTCATGGTTTTTCTCGAGTTGCGGCGGCGACCTGGGGTATATTCTCGACTTACGGCGGGGATGGCCCTTCAAAACACGAGTTTCTTCAGTGACGTCAGGACTCCTGCCTAGTAACGAGGGACACCTCAGGAATCTCTTCGAGGATTGGCAGGGCAAAAGGGACGCTTCTCGAGGTGAGGCAGGGCACCCAAGGACCCTTTCCAGTAGCCACAGGGATTTTGGGATTCCTATCAGTATTCAAGAGGAGTCAGGCATCGTCACCTTTTGAAACAATGAACTCCGCGTGCCTCTCGAGGTGTCAGCGGGATGTGAGGATTCCGTCAAAATGAGGCAGGGACCTAGGGCTTCCTCTAAGGTCTCCACAGGGGATTCAGACATCCCTTCAGGTTGTGAGATGAAAGACGAGCCTGTATTCAAGCCACTGCAAGGAAATCCGGCCTCCTTTCAAGTTAGGGCTTCTCGCTGTATATTCCCCTTGAAGCAGCAAACTCGGGGTCCCTCCCACATACCTATTGCTGAGAGAAGCCTCCTCCTGAGGTGCTTCCGGAAAGTTGGCATACGTCTTGAGCCGAAGCCAGGGAATCAGCTCTCATCTCGAGACGATTTGGCATACACAGAGCATTCCTCGAGTTGCTGTGCTGAATTTGGTGGTCCTCTAGGCTTGGGACAGTGTTCTCGGGGCATCTCTGGAGTTGCCTGAAGGAAGTCGAGCCACCGGTCGTGTTGAATGGGGAACAGGGAATGGCTCTGGAGTCAATGCAGGGGAATCTGGCCTCATCTCGAGTTGATTTGGGGCACATGGAGCTGCTTTGCATTGCTGGGTGACCTCAGGGTCCATCTAGACTGGTGACAGTGTTCTTGGGGACTGTCTCGAGATCCATTAATCAAGTCGATGCTCCTGACTTGTTTGAATGGGATCACGGAATAGCTCTGCATGCACTGCAGGGGAATGGGGCCTCATCTCGCCTCTAGGGGGAAGTCTCACGGTTTTTCTCGAGTTGCGGTGGGGACCTGGGGTATGTTCTCGACTTACGGCGGGGATGGCCCTTCAAAACACGAGTTTCTTCAGTGACGTCAGAACTCCTGTCTAGTAACGAGGGACACCTCAGCAATCACTTCGAGGCTTGGCAGGGCAAAAGGGACGCTTCTCGAGGTGAGCCAGGGCACCCAAGGACCCTTTCCAGTAGCCACAGGGATTTTGGAATTCCTATAAGTATTCAAGAGGAGGCAGGCATCGTCACCTTTTCAAGCAATGAACTCTGCGTGCCTCTCGAGGTGTCAGGGGGATGTGAGGTATTCCGTCAAAATGAGGCAGGGACCTAGGGCTTCCTCTAAGGTCTCTACAGGGGATTCAGACATCCCTTCATGTTGTGAGATCAAAGACGAGCCTGTATTCAAGCCACTGCAAGGAAATCTGGCCTCCGTTCACATTAGGGCTTCTCCCTGTGTATTCCCCTTGAGGCAGCAAACTCGGGGTCCCTCCCACATACCTATTGCTGAGAGAAGCCTCCTCCTGAGGTGCTTCTGGAAAGTTGGCATACGTCTTGAGCCTAAGCCAGGGAATCAGCTCTCATCTCGAGATGATTTGGGGTACATGGAGCATTCCTCGAGTTGCTCTGCTGAAATTGGTGTTCCTCTAGACTTGGGACAGTGTTCTCGGGGCATCTCTGGAGTTGCCTGAAGGAAGTCGAGCCACCGGTCGTGTTGAACGGGGAACGGGGAATGGCTCTGGAGTCAATGCAGGGGAATCGGGCCTCATCTCGAGTTGATTTGGGGCACATGGAGCAGCTTTGCGTTGCTGGGGTGACCTCAGGGTCCATCTAGACTGGTGACAGTGTTCTTGGGGACTGTCTCGAGATCCATTAAGCAAGTCGAAGCGCCTGACTTGTTTGAATGGGATCACGGAAGAGCTCTGCATGCACTGCAGGGGAATGGGGCCTCATCTCGCCTCTAGGGGGAAGTCTCATGGTTTTTCTCGAGTTGCGGCGGCGACCTGGGGTATATTCTCGACTTACGGCGGGGATGGCCCTTCAAAACACGAGTTTCTTCAGTGACGTCAGGACTCCTGCCTAGTAACGAGGGACACCTCAGGAATCTCTTCGAGGCTTGGCAGGGCAAAAGGGACGCTTCTCGAGGTGAGGCAGGGCACCCAAGGACCCTTTCCAGTAGCCACAGGGATTTTGGGATTCCTATCAGTATTCAAGAGGAGTCAGGCATCGTCACCTTTTGAAACAATGAACTCCGCGTGCCTCTCGAGGTGTCAGCGGGATGTGAGGCATTCCGTCAAAATGAGGCAGGGACCTAGGGCTTTCTCTAAGGTCTCCACAGGGGATTCAGACATCCCTTCATGTTGTGAGATGAAAGACAAGCCTGTATTCAAGCTACTGCAAGGAAATCCGGCCTCCTTTCAAGTTAGGGCTTCTCGATGTATATTCCCCTTGAGGCAGCAAACTCGGAGTCCCTCCCACATACCTATTGCTGAGAAGCCTCCTCCTGAGGTGCTTCTGGAAATTTGGCATACGTCTTGAGCCTAAGCCAGGGAATCAGCTCTCATCTCGAGACGATTTGGGGTACACAGATCATTCCTCGAGTTGCTGTGCTGAAGTTGGTGTTCCTCTAGACTTGGGAGAGTGTTCTCGGGGCATCTCTGGAGTTGCCTGAAGGAAGGCGAGCCTCCGTTCGTGTTGAACGGGGAACGAGGAATGGCTCTGGAGTCAATGGAGGGAAATCGGGCCTCATCTCGAGTTGATTTGGGGCAAATGGAGCTGCTTTGCTTTGCTGGGGTGACCTTAGGGTCCGTCTAGACTGGTGACAGTGTTCTTGGGGACTGTCTCGAGATCCATTAAGCAAGTCGAAGCTCCTGACTTGTTTGAATGGGATCACGGAATAGCTCTGCATGCACTGCAGGGGAATGGGGCCTCATCTCGCCTATAGGGGGATGTCTCATGCTTTTTCTCGAGTTGCGGCGGGGACCTGGGGTATGTTCTCGACTTACGGTGGGGATGGCCCTTCAAACACGAGTTTCTTCAGTGACGTCAGGACTCCTGTCTAGTAACGAGGGACACCTCAGCAATCTCTTCGAGGCTTGGCAGGGCAAAAGGGACGCTTCTCGAGGTGAGCCAGGGCACCCAACGACCCTTTCCAGTAGCAACAGGGATTTTGGGATTCCTATAAGTATTCAAGAGGAGTCAGGCATCGTCACCTTTTGAAGCAATGAACTCTGCGTGCCTCTCGAGGTGTCAGGGGGATGTGAGGTATTCCGTCAAAATGAGGCAGGGACCTAGGGCTTCCTCTAAGGTCTCCACAGGGGATTCAGACATCCCTTCATGTTGTCAGATCAAAGACGAGCCTGTATTCAACCCTCTGCAAGGAAATCTGGCCTCCGTTCACATTAGGGCTTCTCCCTGTGTATTCCCCTTGAGGCAGCAAACACGGGGTCCCTCCCACAAACCTATTGCTGAGAGAAGCCTCCTCCTGAGATGCTTCTGGAAAGTTGGCATACGTCTTGAGCCTAAGCCAGGGAATCAGCTCTCATCTCGAGATGATTTGGGGTACACGGATCATTCCTCGAGTTGCTGTGCTGAAGTAGGTGTTCCTCTAGCCTTGGGACATTGTTCTCGGGGAATCTCTGGAGTTGCCTGAAGGAAGTCGAGCCACCGGTCGTCTTGAATGGGGAACGGGGAATGGCTCTGGAGTCAATGCAGGGGAATCCGGCCTCATCTCGAGTTGATTTGGGGCACATGGAGCAGCTTTGCGTTGCTGGGGTGACCTCAGGGTCCGTCTAGACTGGTGACACTGTTCTTGGGGACTGTCTCGAGATCCATTAAGCAAGTCGAAGCTCCTGACTTGTTTGAATGGGATCACGGAATAGCTCTGCATGCACTCCAGGGGAATGGGGCTTCATGTCGCCTCTAGGGGGAAGTCTCACGGTTTTTCTCGAGTTGCGGCGGGGACCTGGGGTATGTTCTCGACTTACGGCGGGGATGGCCCTTCAAAACACGAGTTTCTCCAGTGACGTCAGGACTCCTGCCTAGTAACGAGGGACACCTCAGGAATCTCTTCGAGGCTTGGCAGGGCAAAAGGGACGCTTCTCGAGGTGAGGCAGGGCACCCAAGGACCCTTTCCAGTAGCCACAGGTGATTTTGGGATTCCTATCAGTATTCAAGAGGAGTCAGGCATCGTCACCTTTTGAAGCAATGAACTCCGCGTGCCTCTCGAGGTGTCAGCGGGATGTGAGGCATTCCGTCAAAATGAGGCAGGGACCTAGGGCTTTCTCTAAGGTCTCCACAGGGGATTCAGACATCCCTTCATGTTGTGAGATGAAAGACAAGCCTGTATTCAAGCTACTGCAAGGAAATCCGGCCTCCTTTCAAGTTAGGGCTTCTCGATGTATATTCCCCTTGAGGCAGCAAACTCGGAGTCCCTCCCACATACCTATTGCTGAGAAGCCTCCTCCTGAGGTGCTTCTGGAAAGTTGGCATACGTCTTGAGCCTAAGCCAGGGAATCAGCTCTCATCTCGAGACGATTTGGGGTACACAGAGCATTCCTCGAGTTGCTGTGCTGAAGTTGGTGTTCCTCTAGACTTGGGACAGTGTTCTCGGGGCATCTCTGGAGTTGCCTGAAGGAAGGCGAGCCTCCGTTCTTGTTGAACGGGGAACGGGGAATGGCTCTGGAGTCAATGCAGGGGAATCGGGCCTCATCTCGAGTTGATTTGGGGCACATGGATCTGCTTTGCGTTGCTGGGGTGACCTCAGGGTCCGTCTAGACTGGTGACAGTGTTCTTGGGGACTGTCTCGAGATCCATTAAGCAAGTCGAAGCTCCTGACTTGTTTGAATGGGATCACGGAATAGCTCTGCATGCACTGCAGGGGAATGGGGCCTCATCTCGCCTCTAGGGGGAAGTCTCATGGTTTTTCTCGAGTTGCGGCGGGGACCTGGGGTATGTTCTCGACTTACTGCGGGGATGGCCCTTCAAAACACGAGTTTCTTCAGTGACTTCAGTACTCCTGTCTAGTAACGAGGGACACCTCAGCAATCTCTTCGAGGCTTGGCAGGGCAAAGGGGACGCTTCTCGAGGTGAGCCAGGGCACCCAAGGACCCTTTCCAGTAGCAACAGGGATTTTGGGATTCCTATCAGTATTCAAGAGGAGTCAGGCATCGTCACCTTTTGAAGCAATGAACTCCGCGTGCCTCTCGAGGTGTCAGCGTGATGTGAGGCATTCCGTCAAAATGAGGCAGGGACCTAGGGCTTTCTCTAAGGTCTCCACAGGGGATTCAGACATCCCTTCATGTTGTCAGATCAAAGACGAGCCTGTATTCAAGCCACTGCAAGGAAATCCGGCCTCCTTTCAAGTTAGGGCTTCTCGCTGTATATTCCCCTTGAGGCAGCAAACTCGGGGTCCCTCCCACATACCTATTGCTGAGAGAAGCCTCCTCCTGAGGTGCTTCTGGAAAGTTGGCATACGTCTTGAGCCTAAGCCAGGGAATCAGCTCTCATCTCGAGATGATTTGGGGTACACGGAGCATTCCTCGAGTTGCTGGGCTGAAGTTGGTGTTCCTCTAGACTTGGGACAGTGTTCTCGGGGCATCTCTGGAGTTGCCTGAAGGAAGTCGAGCCACCGGTCGTGTTGAATGGGGAACGGGGAATGGCTCTGGAGTCAATGCAGGGGAATCGGGGCTCATCTCGAGTTGATTTGGGGCACATGGAGCAGCTTTGCATTGCTGGGGTGACCTCAGGGTCCGTCTAGACTGGTGACAGTGTTCTTGGGGACTGTCTCGAGATCCATTAAGCAAGTCGAAGCTCCTGACTTGTTTGAATGGGATCACGGAATAGCTCTGCATGCACTGCAGGGGAATGGGGCCTCATCTCGCCTCTAGGGGGAAGTCTCACGGTTTTTGTCGACTTGCGGCGGGGACCTGGGGTATGTTCTCGACTTACGGCGGGGATGGCCCTTCAAAACACGAGTTTCTTCAGTGACGTCAGGACTCCTGCCTAGTAACGAGGGACACCTCAGGAATCTCTTCGAGGCTTGGCAGGGCAAAAGGGACGCTTCTCGAGGTGAGGCAGGGCACCCAAGGACCCTTTCCAGTAGCAACAGGGATTTTGGGATTCCTATAAGTATTCAAGATGAGTCAGGCATCGTCACCTTTTGAAGCAATGAACTCTGCGTGCCTCTCGAGGTGTCAGGGGGATGTGAGGTATTCCGTCAAAATGAGGCAGGGACCTAGGGCTTCCTCTAAGGTCTCCACAGGGTATTCAGACATCCCTTCATGTTGTCTGATCAAAGACGAGCCTGTATTCAAGCCACTGCAAGGAAATCTGGCCTCCGTTCACATTAGGGCTTCTCCCTGTGTATTCCCCTTGAGGCAGCAAACTCGGGGTCCCTCCAACATACCTATTGCTGAGAGAAGCCTCCTCCTGAGGTGCTTCTGGAAAGTTGGCATACGTCTTGAGCCTAACCCAGGGAATCAGCTCTCATCTCGAGACGATTTGTGGTGCACAGAGCATTCCTCGAGTTGCTGTGCTGAAGTTGGTGGTCCTCTAGACTTGGGACAGTGTTCTCGGGGCATCTCTGGAGTTGCCTGAAGGAAGTCGAGCCACCGGTATTGTTGAATATGGAACAGGGAATGTCTCTGGAGTCAATGCAGGAATCCGGCCTCATCTCTAGTTGATTTGGGGCACATGGAGCTGCTTTGCATTGCTGGGTGACCTCAGGGTCCGTCTAGACTGGTGACAGTGTTCTTGGGGACTGTCTCGAGATCCATTAAGCAAGTCGAAGCTCCTGACTTGTTTGAATGGGATCACGGAATAGCTCTGCATGCACTGCAGGGGAATGGGGCCTCATCTCGCCTCTAGGGGGAAGTCTCATGGTTTTTCTCGAGTTGCGGCGGGGACCTGGGGTATGTTCACGACTTACGGCGGGGATTACCCTTCAAAACACGAGTTTCTCCAGTGACGTCAGGACTCCTGCCTAGTAACGAGGGACACCTCAGGAATCTCTTCGAGGCTTGGCAGGGCAAAAGGGACGCTTCTCGAGGTGAGGCAGGGCACCCAAAGACCCTTTCCAGTAGCCTCAGGGATTTTGGGATTCCTATCAGTATTCAAGAGGAGTCAGGCATCGTCACCTTTTGAAGCAATGAACACCGCGAGCCTCTCGAGGTGTCAGCGGGATGTGAGGCATTCTGTCAAAATGAGGCAGGGTCCTAGGGCTTTCTCTAAGGTCTCCACAGGGGATTCAGACATCCCTTCATGTTGTGAGATGAAAGACAAGCCTGTATTCAAGCTACTGCAAGGAAATCCGGCCTCCTTTCAAGTTAGGGCTTCTCGCTGTATATTCCCCTTGAGGCAGCAAACTCAGAGTCCCTCCCACATACCTATTGCTGAGAAGCCTCCTCCTGAGGTGCTTCTGGAAAGTTGGCATACGTCTTGAGCCTAAGCCAGGGAATCAGCTCTCATCTCGAGACGATTTGGGGTACACAGAGCATTCCTCGAGTTGCTGTGCTGAAGTTGGTGTTACTCTAGGCTTGGGACAGTGTTCTCGGGGCATCTCTGGAGTTGCCTGAAGGAAGGCGAGCCACCGGTCGTGTTGAACGGGGAACGGGGAATGGCTCTGGAGTCAATGCAGGGGAATCGGGCCTCATCTCGAGTTGATTTGGGGCACATGGAGCTGCTTTGCGTTGCTGGGGTGACCTCAGGGTCCGTCTAGACTGGTGACAGTGTTCTTGGGGACTGTCTCGAGATCCATTAAGCATGTCGAAGCTCCTGACTTGTTTGAATGGGATCACGGAATAGCTCTGCATGCACTGCAGGGGAATGGGGCCTCTTCTCGCCTATAGGGGGAAGTCTCATGGTTTTTCTCGAGTTGCGGCGGGGACCTGGGGTATGTTCTCCACTTACGGCGGAGATGGCCCTTCACAACACGACTTTCTTCAGTGACGTCAGGACTCCTGTCTAGTAACGAGGGACACCTCAGCAATCTCTTCGAGGCTTGGCAGGCAAAAGGGACGCTTCTCGAGGTGAGCCAGGGCACCCAAGGACCCTTTCCAGTAGCCACAGGGATTTTGGGATTCCTATAAGTATTCAAGAGGAGTCAGGCATCGTCACCTTTTGAAGCAATGAACTCTGCGTGCCTCTCGAGGTGTCAGGGGGATGTGAGGTATTCCGTCAAAATGAGGCAGGGACCTAGGGCTTTCTCTAAGGTCTCTACAGGGGATTCAGATATCCCTTCATGTTGTGAGATCAAAGACGAGCCTGTATTCAAGCCACTGCAAGGAAATCTGGTCTCCGTTCACATTAGGACTTCTCCCTGTGTATTCCCCTTGAGGCAGCAAACTCGGGGTCCCTCCCACATACCTATTGCTGAGAGAAGCCTCCTCCTGAGGTGCTTCTGGAAAGTTGGCATACGTCTTGAGCCTAAGCCAGGGAATCAGCTCTCATCTCGAGATGATTTGGGGTACACGGAGCATTCCCCGAGTTGCTGTGCTGAAGTTGGTGTTCCTCTAGACTTGGGACAGTGTTCTCGGGGCATCTCTGGAGTTGCCTGAAGGAAGTCGAGCCACCGGTCGTGTTGAATGGGGAACGTGAAATGGCTCTGGTGTCAATGCAAGGGAATCGCGCCTCATCTCGAGTTGATTTGGGGCACATGGAGCTGCTTTGCATTGCTGGGTGACCTCAGGGTCCGTCTAGACTGGTGACAGTGTTCTTGGGGACTGTCTCGAGATCCATTAAGCAAGTCGAAGCTCCTGACTTGTTTGAATGGGATCACGGAATAGCTCTGCATGCACTGCAGGGGAATGGGGCCTCTTCTCGCCTATAGAGGGAAGTCTCATGGTTTTTCTCGAGTTGCGGCGGGGACCTGGGGTATGTTCTCCACTTACGGCGAAGATGGCCCTTCACAACACGAGTTTCTTCAGTGACGTCAGGACTCCTGTCTAGTAACGAGGGACACCTCAGCAATCTCTTCGAGGCTTGGCAGGGCAAAAGGGACGCTTCTCGAGGTGAGCCAGGGCACCCAAGGACCCTTTCCAGTAGCCACAGGGATTTTGGGATTCCTATAAGTATTCAAGAGGAGTCAGGCATCGTCACCTTTTGAAGCAATGAACTCTGCGTGCCTCTCGAGGTGTCAGGGGGATGTGAGGTATTCCGTCAAAATGAGGCAGGGACCTAGGGCTTCCTCTAAGGTCTCCACAGGGGATTCAGACATCCCTTCATGTTGTCAGATCAAAGACGAGCCTGTATTCAAGCCACTGCAAGGAAATCTGGCCTCCGTTCACATTAGGGCTTCTCCCTGTGTATTCCCCTTGAGGCAGCAAAATCGGGGTCCTTCCCACATATCTATTGCTGAGAGAAGCCTCCTCCTGAGCTGCTTCTGGAAAGTTGGCATACGTCTTGAGCCTAAGCCAGGGAATCAGCTCTCATGTCGAGATGATTTGTGGTATACGGAGCATTCCTCGAGTTGCTGTGCTGAAGTTGTTGTTCCTCTAGACTTGGGACAGTGTTCTCGGGGCATCTCTGGAGTTTCCTGAAGGAAGTCGAGCCACCGGTCGTGTTGAATGGGGAACGGGGAATGGCTCTGGAGTCAATGCAGTGGAATCGGGCCTCATCTCGAGTTGATTTGTGGCACATGGAGCAGCTTTGCGTTGCTGCGGTGACCTCAGGGTCCGTCTAGACTGGTGACAATGTTCTTGGGGACTGTCTCGAGATCCATTAAGCAAGTCGAAGCTCCTGACTTGTTTGAATGGCATCACGCAATAGCTCTGCATGCACTGCAGGGGAATGGGGCCTCATCTCGCCTCTAGGGGGAAGTCTCATGGTTTTTCTCGAGTTGCGGCGGGGACCTGGGGTATGTTCTCGACTTACGGCGGGGATGGCCCTTCAAAACACGATTTTCTTCAGTGACGTCAGGACTCCTCTCTAGTAACGAGGGACACCTCAGGAATCTCTTCGAGGATTGGCAGGGCAAAAGGGACGCTTCTCGAGGTGAGGCAGGGCACCCAAGGACCCTTTCTAGTAGCCACAGAGATTTTGGAATTCCTATCAGTATTCAAGAGGAGTCAGGCATCGTCACCTTTTGAAGCAATGAACTCCGCGTGCCTCTCGAGGTGTCAGCGGGATGTGAGGATTCCGTCAAAATGAGGCAGGTACCTAGGGCTTTCTCTAAGGTCTCCACAGGGGATTCAGACATCCCTTCATGTTGTCAGATCAAAGACGAGCCTGTATTCAAGCCACTGCAAGGAAAACCGGCCTCCTTTCAAGATAGGGCGTCTCGCTGTATATTCCCCTTGAGGCAGCAAACTCGGGGTCCCTCCAACATACCTATTGCTGAGAGAAACCTCCTCCTGAGGTGCTTCTGGAAAGTTGGCATACGTCTTAAGCCTAAGCCAGGGAATCAGCTCTCATCTCGAGACGATTTGGGGTACACAGAGCATTCCTCGAGTTGCTGTGCTGAAGTTGGTGGTCCTCTAGACTTGGGACAGTGTTCTCGGGGAATCTCTGGAGTTGCCTGAATGAAGTCGAGCCACCGGTCGTGTTGAATGGGGAACAGGGAATGGCTCTGCAGTCAATGCAGGGGAATCGGGCCTCATCTCGAGTTGATTTGGGGCAAATGGAGCTGCTTTGCATTGCTGGGTGACCTCAGTGTCCGTCTAGACTGGTGACAGTGTTCTTGGGGACTGTCTCGAGATCCATTAAGCAAGTCGAAGCTCCTGACTTGTTTGAATGGGATCACGGAATAGCTCTGCATGCACTGCAGGGGAATGGGGCCTCATCTCTCCTCTAGGGGGAAGTCTCACGGTTTTTCTCGAGTTGCGGCGGGGACCTGGGGTATGTTCTCGACTTAAAGCGGGGATGGCCCTTCAAAACACGAGTTCCTCCAGTGACGTCAGGACTCCTGCCTAGTAACGAGGGACACCTCAGGAATCTCTTCGAGGCTTGGCAGGGCAAAAGGGACGCTTCTCGAGGTGAGCCAGGGCACCCAAGGACCCTTTCCAGTAGCCACAGGGATTTTGGGATTCCTATCAGTATTCAAGAGGAGTCAGGCATCGTCACCTTTTGAAGCAATGAAATCCGCGAGACTCTCGAGGTGTCAGCGGGATGTGAGGCATTCCGTCAAAATGAGGCAGGGACCTAGGGCTTTCTCTAAGGTCTCCACAGGGGATTCAGACATCCCTTCATGTTGTCAGATCAAAGACGAGCCTGTATTCAAGCCACTGCAAGGAAATCTGGCCTCCTTTCAAGTTAGGGCTTCTCGCTGTATATTCCCCTTGAGGCAGCAAACTCGGGGTCCCTCGCACATACCTATTGCTGAGAGAAGCCTCCTCCTGAGGTGCTTCTGGAAAGTTGGCCTACGTCTTGAGCCTAAGCCAGGGCATCAGCTCTCATCTCGAGATGATTTGGGGTACACGGAGCATTCCTCGAGTTGCTGTGCTGAAGTTGGTGTTCCTCTAGACTTGGGACAGTGTTCTCGGGGCATCTCTGGAGTTGCCTGAAGGAAGTCGAGCCACCGGTCGTGTTGAATGGGGAACGGGGAATGGCTCTGGAGTCAATGCAGGGGAATCGGGCCTCATCTCGAGTTGATTTGGGGCACATGGAGCAGCTTTGCGTTGCTGGGGTGACCTCAGGGTCCGTCTAGACTGGTGACAGTGTCCTTGGGGACTGTCTCGAGATCCATTAAGCAAGTCGAAGCTCCTGACTTGTTTGAATGGGATCACGGAATAGCTCTGCATGCACTGCAGGGGAATGGGGCCTCATCTCGCCTCTAGGGGGAAGTCTCATGGTTTTTCTCGGGTTGCGGCGGGGACCTGGGGTATGTTCTCGACTTACCGCGGGGATGGCCCTTCAAAACACGAGTTTCTTCACTGACGTCAGGACTCCTGCCTAGTAACGAGGGACACCTCAGGAATCTCTTCGAGGCTTGGCAGGGCAAAAGGGACGCTTCTCGAGGTGAGGCAGGGCACCCAAGGACCCTTCCCAGTAGCCACAGGGATTTTGGGATTCCTATAAGTATTCAAGAGGAGTCAGGCATCGTCACATTTTGAAGCAATGAACTCCGCGTGCCTCTCCAGGTGTCAGCGGGATGTGAGGCATTCATTCAAAATGAGGAAGGGACCTAGGGCTTACTCTAAGGTCTACACAGGGGATTCAGACATCCCTTCATGTTGTCAGATCAAAGTCGAGCCTGTATTCAAGCCACTGCAAGGAAATCCGGCCTCCTTTCAAGTTAGGGCTTCTCGCTGTATATTCCCCTTGAGGCAGCAAACTCGGGGTCCCTCCCACATACCTATTGCTGAGAGAAGCCTCCTCCTGAGGTGCTTCTGGAAAGTTGGCATACGTCTTGAGCCTAAGCCAGGGAATCAGCTCTCATCTCGAGATGATTTGGGGTACACGGAGCATTCCCCGAGTTGCTGTGCTGAAGTTGGTGTTCCTCTAGACTTGGGACAGTGTTCTCGGGGCATCTCTGGAGTTGCCTGAAGGAAGTCGAGCCACCGGTCGTGTTGAATGGGGAACGTGAAATGGCTCTGGTGTCAATGCAAGGGAATCGCGCCTCATCTCGAGTTGATTTGGGGCACATGGAGCTGCTTTGCATTGCTGGGTGACCTCAGGGTCCGTCTAGACTGGTGACAGTGTTCTTGGGGACTGTCTCGAGATCCATTAAGCAAGTCGAAGCTCCTGACTTGTTTGAATGGGATCACGGAATAGCTCTGCATGCACTGCAGGGGAATGGGGCCTCTTCTCGCCTATAGAGGGAAGTCTCATGGTTTTTCTCGAGTTGCGGCGGGGACCTGGGGTATGTTCTCCACTTACGGCGAAGATGGCCCTTCACAACACGAGTTTCTTCAGTGACGTCAGGACTCCTGTCTAGTAACGAGGGACACTTCAGCAATCTCTTCGAGGCTTGGCAGGGCAAAAGGGACGCTTCTCGAGGTGAGCCAGGGCACCCAAGGACCCTTTCCAGTAGCCACAGGGATTTTGGGATTCCTATAAGTATTCAAGAGGAGTCAGGCATCGTCACCTTTTGAAGCAATGAACTCTGCGTGCCTCTCGAGGTGTCAGGGGGATGTGAGGTATTCCGTCAAAATGAGGCAGGGACCTAGGGCTTCCTCTAAGGTCTCCACAGGGGATTCAGACATCCCTTCATGTTGTCAGATCAAAGACGAGCCTGTATTCAAGCCACTGCAAGGAAATCTGGCCTCCGTTCACATTAGGGCTTCTCCCTGTGTATTCCCCTTGAGGCAGCAAAATCGGGGTCCTTCCCACATATCTATTGCTGAGAGAAGCCTCCTCCTGAGCTGCTTCTGGAAAGTTGGCATACGTCTTGAGCCTAAGCCAGGGAATCAGCTCTCATGTCGAGATGATTTGTGGTATACGGAGCATTCCTCGAGTTGCTGTGCTGAAGTTGTTGTTCCTCTAGACTTGGGACAGTGTTCTCGGGGCATCTCTGGAGTTTCCTGAAGGAAGTCGAGCCACCGGTCGTGTTGAATGGGGAACGGGGAATGGCTCTGGAGTCAATGCAGTGGAATCGGGCCTCATCTCGAGTTGATTTGTGGCACATGGAGCAGCTTTGCGTTGCTGCGGTGACCTCAGGGTCCGTCTAGACTGGTGACAATGTTCTTGGGGACTGTCTCGAGATCCATTAAGCAAGTCGAAGCTCCTGACTTGTTTGAATGGCATCACGCAATAGCTCTGCATGCACTGCAGGGGAATGGGGCCTCATCTCGCCTCTAGGGGGAAGTCTCATGGTTTTTCTCGAGTTGCGGCGGGGACCTGGGGTATGTTCTCGACTTACGGCGGGGATGGCCCTTCAAAACACGATTTTCTTCAGTGACGTCAGGACTCCTCTCTAGTAACGAGGGACACCTCAGGAATCTCTTCGAGGATTGGCAGGGCAAAAGGGACGCTTCTCGAGGTGAGGCAGGGCACCCAAGGACCCTTTCTAGTAGCCACAGAGATTTTGGAATTCCTATCAGTATTCAAGAGGAGTCAGGCATCGTCACCTTTTGAAGCAATGAACTCCGCGTGCCTCTCGAGGTGTCAGCGGGATGTGAGGATTCCGTCAAAATGAGGCAGGTACCTAGGGCTTTCTCTAAGGTCTCCACAGGGGATTCAGACATCCCTTCATGTTGTCAGATCAAAGACGAGCCTGTATTCAAGCCACTGCAAGGAAAACCGGCCTCCTTTCAAGATAGGGCGTCTCGCTGTATATTCCCCTTGAGGCAGCAAACTCGGGGTCCCTCCAACATACCTATTGCTGAGAGAAACCTCCTCCTGAGGTGCTTCTGGAAAGTTGGCATACGTCTTAAGCCTAAGCCAGGGAATCAGCTCTCATCTCGAGACGATTTGGGGTACACAGAGCATTCCTCGAGTTGCTGTGCTGAAGTTGGTGGTCCTCTAGACTTGGGACAGTGTTCTCGGGGAATCTCTGGAGTTGCCTGAATGAAGTCGAGCCACCGGTCGTGTTGAATGGGGAACAGGGAATGGCTCTGCAGTCAATGCAGGGGAATCGGGCCTCATCTCGAGTTGATTTGGGGCAAATGGAGCTGCTTTGCATTGCTGGGTGACCTCAGTGTCCGTCTAGACTGGTGACAGTGTTCTTGGGGACTGTCTCGAGATCCATTAAGCAAGTCGAAGCTCCTGACTTGTTTGAATGGGATCACGGAATAGCTCTGCATGCACTGCAGGGGAATGGGGCCTCATCTCTCCTCTAGGGGGAAGTCTCACGGTTTTTCTCGAGTTGCGGCGGGGACCTGGGGTATGTTCTCGACTTAAAGCGGGGATGGCCCTTCAAAACACGAGTTCCTCCAGTGACGTCAGGACTCCTGCCTAGTAACGAGGGACACCTCAGGAATCTCTTCGAGGCTTGGCAGGGCAAAAGGGACGCTTCTCGAGGTGAGCCAGGGCACCCAAGGACCCTTTCCAGTAGCCACAGGGATTTTGGGATTCCTATCAGTATTCAAGAGGAGTCAGGCATCGTCACCTTTTGAAGCAATGAAATCCGCGAGACTCTCGAGGTGTCAGCGGGATGTGAGGCATTCCGTCAAAATGAGGCAGGGACCTAGGGCTTTCTCTAAGGTCTCCACAGGGGATTCAGACATCCCTTCATGTTGTCAGATCAAAGACGAGCCTGTATTCAAGCCACTGCAAGGAAATCTGGCCTCCTTTCAAGTTAGGGCTTCTCGCTGTATATTCCCCTTGAGGCAGCAAACTCGGGGTCCCTCGCACATACCTATTGCTGAAAGAAGCCTCCTCCTGAGGTGCTTCTGGAAAGTTGGCCTACGTCTTGAGCCTAAGCCAGGGCATCAGCTCTCATCTCGAGATGATTTGGGGTACACGGAGCATTCCTCGAGTTGCTGTGCTGAAGTTGGTGTTCCTCTAGACTTGGGACAGTGTTCTCGGGGCATCTCTGGAGTTGCCTGAAGGAAGTCGAGCCACCGGTCGTGTTGAATGGGGAACGGGGAATGGCTCTGGAGTCAATGCAGGGGAATCGGGCCTCATCTCGAGTTGATTTGGGGCACATGGAGCAGCTTTGCGTTGCTGGGGTGACCTCAGGGTCCGTCTAGACTGGTGACAGTGTCCTTGGGGACTGTCTCGAGATCCATTAAGCAAGTCGAAGCTCCTGACTTGTTTGAATGGGATCACGGAATAGCTCTGCATGCACTGCAGGGGAATGGGGCCTCATCTCGCCTCTAGGGGGAAGTCTCATGGTTTTTCTCGGGTTGCGGCGGGGACCTGGGGTATGTTCTCGACTTACCGCGGGGATGGCCCTTCAAAACACGAGTTTCTTCACTGACGTCAGGACTCCTGCCTAGTAACGAGGGACACCTCAGGAATCTCTTCGAGGCTTGGCAGGGCAAAAGGGACGCTTCTCGAGGTGAGGCAGGGCACCCAAGGACCCTTCCCAGTAGCCACAGGGATTTTGGGATTCCTATAAGTATTCAAGAGGAGTCAGGCATCGTCACCTTTTGAAGCAATGAACTCCGCGTGCCTCTCCAGGTGTCAGCGGGATGTGAGGCATTCATTCAAAATGAGGAAGGGACGTAGGGCTTACTCTAAGGTCTACACAGGGGATTCAGACATCCCTTCATGTTGTCAGATCAAAGTCGAGCCTGTATTCAAGCCACTGCAAGGAAATCCGGCCTCCTTTCAAGTTAGGGCTTCTCGCTGTATATTCCCCTTGAGGCAGCAAACTCGGGGTCCCTCCCACATACCTATTGCTGAGAGAAGCCTCCTCCTGAGGTGCTTCTGGAAAGTTGGCATACGTCTTGAGCCTAAGCCAGGGAATCAGCTCTCATCTCGAGATGATTTGGGGTACACGGAGCATTCCTCGAGTTGCTGGGCTGAAGTTGGTGTTCCTCTAGACTTGGGACAGTGTTCTCGGGGCATCTCTGGAGTTGCCTGAAGGAAGTCGAGCCACCGGTCGTGTTGAATGGGGAACGGGGAATGGCTCTGGAGTCAATGCAGGGGAATCGGGGCTCATCTCGAGTTGATTTGGGGCACATGGAGCAGCTTTGCATTGCTGGGTGACCTCAGTGTCCGTCTAGACTGGTGACAGTGTTCTTGGGGACTGTCTCGAGATCCATTAAGCAAGTCGAAGCTCCTGACTTGTTTGAATGGGATCACGGAATAGCTCTGCATGCACTGCAGGGGAATGGGGCCTCATCTCTCCTCTAGGGGGAAGTCTCACGGTTTTTCTCGAGTTGCGGCGGGGACCTGGGGTATGTTCTCGACTTAAAGCGGGGATGGCCCTTCAAAACACGAGTTCCTCCAGTGACGTCAGGACTCCTGCCTAGTAACGAGGGACACCTCAGGAATCTCTTCGAGGCTTGGCAGGGCAAAAGGGACGCTTCTCGAGGTGAGCCAGGGCACCCAAGGACCCTTTCCAGTAGCCACAGGGATTTTGGGATTCCTATCAGTATTCAAGAGGAGTCAGGCATCGTCACCTTTTGAAGCAATGAAATCCGCGAGACTCTCGAGGTGTCAGCGGGATGTGAGGCATTCCGTCAAAATGAGGCAGGGACCTAGGGCTTTCTCTAAGGTCTCCACAGGGGATTCAGACATCCCTTCATGTTGTCAGATCAAAGACGAGCCTGTATTCAAGCCACTGCAAGGAAATCTGGCCTCCTTTCAAGTTAGGGCTTCTCGCTGTATATTCCCCTTGAGGCAGCAAACTCGGGGTCCCTCGCACATACCTATTGCTGAGAGAAGCCTCCTCCTGAGGTGCTTCTGGAAAGTTGGCCTACGTCTTGAGCCTAAGCCAGGGCATCAGCTCTCATCTCGAGATGATTTGGGGTACACGGAGCATTCCTCGAGTTGCTGTGCTGAAGTTGGTGTTCCTCTAGACTTGGGACAGTGTTCTCGGGGCATCTCTGGAGTTGCCTGAAGGAAGTCGAGCCACCGGTCGTGTTGAATGGGGAACGGGGAATGGCTCTGGAGTCAATGCAGGGGAATCGGGCCTCATCTCGAGTTGATTTGGGGCACATGGAGCAGCTTTGCGTTGCTGGGGTGACCTCAGGGTCCGTCTAGACTGGTGACAGTGTCCTTGGGGACTGTCTCGAGATCCATTAAGCAAGTCGAAGCTCCTGACTTGTTTGAATGGGATCACGGAATAGCTCTGCATGCACTGCAGGGGAATGGGGCCTCATCTCGCCTCTAGGGGGAAGTCTCATGGTTTTTCTCGGGTTGCGGCGGGGACCTGGGGTATGTTCTCGACTTACCGCGGGGATGGCCCTTCAAAACACGAGTTTCTTCACTGACGTCAGGACTCCTGCCTAGTAACGAGGGACACCTCAGGAATCTCTTCGAGACTTGGCAGGGCAAAAGGGACGCTTCTCGAGATGAGGCAGGGCACCCAAGGACCCTTCCCAGTAGCCACAGGGATTTTGGGATTCCTATAAGTATTCAAGAGGAGTCAGGCATCGTCACCTTTTGAAGCAATGAACTCCGCGTGCCTCTCCAGGTGTCAGCGGGATGTGAGGCATTCATTCAAAATGAGGAAGGGACCTAGGGCTTACTCTAAGGTCTACACAGGGGATTCAGACATCCCTTCATGTTGTCAGATCAAAGTCGAGCCTGTATTCAAGCCACTGCAAGGAAATCCGGCCTCCTTTCAAGTTAGGGCTTCTCGCTGTATATTCCCCTTGAGGCAGCAAACTCGGGGTCCCTCCCACATACCTATTGCTGAGAGAAGCCTCCTCCTGAGGTGCTTCTGGAAAGTTGGCATACGTCTTGAGCCTAAGCCAGGGAATCAGCTCTCATCTCGAGATGATTTGGGGTACACGGAGCATTCCTCGAGTTGCTGGGCTGAAGTTGGTGTTCCTCTAGACTTGGGACAGTGTTCTCGGGGCATCTCTGGAGTTGCCTGAAGGAAGTCGAGCCACCGGTCGTGTTGAATGGGGAACGGGGAATGGCTCTGGAGTCAATGCAGGGGAATCGGGGCTCATCTCGAGTTGATTTGGGGCACATGGAGCAGCTTTGCATTGCTGGGGTGACCTCAGGGTCCGTCTAGACTGGTGACAGTGTTCTTGGGGACTGTCTCGAGATCCATTAAGCAAGTCGAAGCTCCTGACTTGTTTGAATGGGATCACGGAATAGCTCTGCATGCACTGCAGGGGAATGGGGCCTCATCTCGCCTCTAGGGGGAAGTCTCACGGTTTTTGTCGACTTGCGGCGGGGACCTGGGGTATGTTCTCGACTTACGGCGGGGATGGCCCTTCAAAACACGAGTTTCTTCAGTGACGTCAGGACTCCTGCCTAGTAACGAGGGACACCTCAGGAATCTCTTCGAGGCTTGGCAGGGCAAAAGGGACGCTTCTCGAGGTGAGGCAGGGCACCCAAGGACCCTTTCCAGTAGCAACAGGGATTTTGGGATTCCTATAAGTATTCAAGATGAGTCAGGCATCGTCACCTTTTGAAGCAATGAACTCTGCGTGCCTCTCGAGGTGTCAGGGGGATGTGAGGTATTCCGTCAAAATGAGGCAGGGACCTAGGGCTTCCTCTAAGGTCTCCACAGGGGATTCAGACATCCCTTCATGTTGTCTGATCAAAGACGAGCCTGTATTCAAGCCACTGCAAGGAAATCTGGCCTCCGTTCACATTAGGGCTTCTCCCTGTGTATTCCCCTTGAGGCAGCAAACTCGGGGTCCCTCCAACATACCTATTGCTGAGAGAAGCCTCCTCCTGAGGTGCTTCTGGAAAGTTGGCATACGTCTTGAGCCTAACCCAGGGAATCAGCTCTCATCTCGAGACGATTTGTGGTGCACAGAGCATTCCTCGAGTTGCTGTGCTGAAGTTGGTGGTCCTCTAGACTTGGGACAGTGTTCTCGGGGCATCTCTGGAGTTGCCTGAAGGAAGTCGAGCCACCGGTATTGTTGAATATGGAACAGGGAATGTCTCTGGAGTCAATGCAGGAATCCGGCCTCATCTCTAGTTGATTTGGGGCACATGGAGCTGCTTTGCATTGCTGGGTGACCTCAGGGTCCGTCTAGACTGGTGACAGTGTTCTTGGGGACTGTCTCGAGATCCATTAAGCAAGTCGAAGCTCCTGACTTGTTTGAATGGGATCACGGAATAGCTCTGCATGCACTGCAGGGGAATGGGGCCTCATCTCGCCTCTAGGGGGAAGTCTCATGGTTTTTCTCGAGTTGCGGCGGGGACCTGGGGTATGTTCACGACTTACGGCGGGGATTACCCTTCAAAACACGAGTTTCTCCAGTGACGTCAGGACTCCTGCCTAGTAACGAGGGACACCTCAGGAATCTCTTCGAGGCTTGGCAGGGCAAAAGGGACGCTTCTCGAGGTGAGGCAGGGCACCCAAAGACCCTTTCCAGTAGCCTCAGGGATTTTGGGATTCCTATCAGTATTCAAGAGGAGTCAGGCATCGTCACCTTTTGAAGCAATGAACACCGCGAGCCTCTCGAGGTGTCAGCGGGATGTGAGGCATTCTGTCAAAATGAGGCAGGGTCCTAGGGCTTTCTCTAAGGTCTCCACAGGGGATTCAGACATCCCTTCATGTTGTGAGATGAAAGACAAGCCTGTATTCAAGCTACTGCAAGGAAATCCGGCCTCCTTTCAAGTTAGGGCTTCTCGCTGTATATTCCCCTTGAGGCAGCAATCTCAGAGTCCCTCCCACATACCTATTGCTGAGAAGCCTCCTCCTGAGGTGCTTCTGGAAAGTTGGCATACGTCTTGAGCCTAAGCCAGGGAATCAGCTCTCATCTCGAGACGATTTGGGGTACACAGAGCATTCCTCGAGTTGCTGTGCTGAAGTTGGTGTTCCTCTAGGCTTGGGACAGTGTTCTCGGGGCATCTCTGGAGTTGCCTGAAGGAAGGCGAGCCACCGGTCGTGTTGAACGGGGAACGGGGAATGGCTCTGGAGTCAATGCAGGGGAATCGGGCCTCATCTCGAGTTGATTTGGGGCACATGGAGCTGCTTTGCGTTGCTGGGGTGACCTCAGGGTCCGTCTAGACTGGTGACAGTGTTCTTGGGGACTGTCTCGAGATCCATTAAGCATGTCGAAGCTCCTGACTTGTTTGAATGGGATCACGGAATAGCTCTGCATGCACTGCAGGGGAATGGGGCCTCTTCTCGCCTATAGGGGGAAGTCTCATGGTTTTTCTCGAGTTGCGGCGGGGACCTGGGGTATGTTCTCCACTTACGGCGGAGATGGCCCTTCACAACATGACTTTCTTCAGTGACGTCAGGACTCCTGTCTAGTAACGAGGGACACCTCAGCAATCTCTTCGAGGCTTGGCAGGCAAAAGGGACGCTTCTCGAGGTGAGGCAGGGCACCCAAGGACCCTTTCCAGTAGCCACAGGGATTTTGGGATTCCTATAAGTATTCAAGAGGAGTCAGGCATCGTCACCTTTTGAAGCAATGAACTCTGCGTGCCTCTCGAGGTGTCAGGGGGATGTGAGGTATTCCGTCAAAATGAGGCAGGGACCTAGGGCTTTCTCTAAGGTCTCTACAGGGGATTCAGATATCCCTTCATGTTGTGAGATCAAAGACGAGCCTGTATTCAAGCCACTGCAAGGAAATCTGGTCTCCGTTCACATTAGGACTTCTCCCTGTGTATTCCCCTTGAGGCAGCAAACTCGGGGTCCCTCCCACATACCTATTGCTGAGAGAAGCCTCCTCCTGAGGTGCTTCTGGAAAGTTGGCATACGTCTTGAGCCTAAGCCAGGGAATCAGCTCTCATCTCGAGATGATTTGGGGTACACGGAGCATTCCCCGAGTGGCTGTGCTGAAGTTGGTGTTCCTCTAGACTTGGGACAGTGTTCTCGGGGCATCTCTGGAGTTGCCTGAAGGAAGTCGAGCCACCGGTCGTGTTGAATGGGGAACGTGAAATGGCTCTGGTGTCAATGCAAGGGAATCGCGCCTCATCTTGAGTTGATTTGGGGCACATGGAGCTGCTTTGCATTGCTGGGTGACCTCAGGGTCCGTCTAGACTGGTGACAGTGTTCTTGGGGACTGTCTCGAGATCCATTAAGCAAGTCGAAGCTCCTGACTTGTTTGAATGGGATCACGGAATAGCTCTGCATGCACTGCAGGGGAATGGGGCCTCTTCTCGCCTATAGAGGGAAGTCTCATGGTTTTTCTCGAGTTGCGGCGGGGACCTGGGGTATGTTCTCCACTTACGGCGAAGATGGCCCTTCACAACACGAGTTTCTTCAGTGACGTCAGGACTCCTGTCTAGTAACGAGGGACACCTCAGCAATCTCTTCGAGGCTTGGCAGGGCAAAAGGGACGCTTCTCGAGGTGAGCCAGGGCACCCAAGGACCCTTTCCAGTAGCCACAGGGATTTTGGGATTCCTATAAGTATTCAAGAGGAGTCAGGCATCGTCACCTTTTGAAGCAATGAACTCTGCGTGCCTCTCGAGGTGTCAGGGGGATGTGAGGTATTCCGTCAAAATGAGGCAGGGACCTAGGGCTTCCTCTAAGGTCTCCACAGGGGATTCAGACATCCCTTCATGTTGTCAGATCAAAGACGAGCCTGTATTCAAGCCACTGCAAGGAAATCTGGCCTCCGTTCACATTAGGGCTTCTCCCTGTGTATTCCCCTTGAGGCAGCAAAATCGGGGTCCTTCCCACATATCTATTGCTGAGAGAAGCCTCCTCCTGAGCTGCTTCTGGAAAGTTGGCATATGTCTTGAGCCTAAGCCAGGGAATCAGCTCTCATGTCGAGATGATTTGTGGTATACGGAGCATTCCTCGAGTTGCTGTGCTGAAGTTGTTGTTCCTCTAGACTTGGGACAGTGTTCTCGGGGCATCTCTGGAGTTTCCTGAAGGAAGTCGAGCCACCGGTCGTGTTGAATGGGGAACGGGGAATGGCTCTGGAGTCAATGCAGTGGAATCGGGCCTCATCTCGAGTTGATTTGTGGCACATGGAGCAGCTTTGCGTTGCTGCGGTGACCTCAGGGTCCGTCTAGACTGGTGACAATGTTCTTGGGGACTGTCTCGAGATCCATTAAGCAAGTCGAAGCTCCTGACTTGTTTGAATGGCATCACGCAATAGCTCTGCATGCACTGCAGGGGAATGGGGCCTCATCTCGCCTCTAGGGGGAAGTCTCATGGTTTTTCTCGAGTTGCGGCGGGGACCTGGGGTATGTTCTCGACTTACGGCGGGGATGGCCCTTCAAAACACGATTTTCTTCAGTGACGTCAGGACTCCTCTCTAGTAACGAGGGACACCTCAGGAATCTCTTCGAGGATTGGCAGGGCAAAAGGGACGCTTCTCGAGGTGAGGCAGGGCACCCAAGGACCCTTTCTAGTAGCCACAGAGATTTTGGAATTCCTATCAGTATTCAAGAGGACTCAGGCATCGTCACCTTTTGAAGCAATGAACTCCGCGTGCCTCTCGAGGTGTCAGCGTGATGTGAGGCATTCCGTCAAAATGAGGCAGGGACCTAGGGCTTTCTCTAAGGTCTCCACAGGGGATTCAGACATCCCTTCATGTTGTGAGATGAAAGACAAGCCTGTATTCAAGCTACTGCAAGGAAATCCGGCCTCCTTTCAAGTTAGGGCTTCTCGATGTATATTCCCCTTGAGGCAGCAAACTCGGAGTCCCTCCCACATACCTATTGCTGAGAAGCCTCCTCCTGAGGTGCTTCTGGAAAGTCGGCATACGTCTTGAGCCTAAGCCAGGGAATCAGCTCTCATCTCGAGACGATTTGGGGTACACAGAGCATTCCTCGAGTTGCTGTGCTGAAGTTGGTGTTCCTCTAGACTTGGGACAGTGTTCTCGGGGCATCTCTGGAGTTGCCTGAAGGAAGGCGAGCCTCCGTTCGTGTTGAACGGGGAACGGGAAATGGCTCTGGAGTCAATGCAGGGGAATCTGGCCTCATCTCGAGTTCATTTGGGGCACATGGAGCTGCTTTGCTTTGCTGGGGTGACCTCAGGGTCCGTCTAGACTGGTGACAGTGTTCTTGGGGACTGTCTCGAGATCCATTAAGCAAGTCGAAGCTCCTGACTTGTTTGAATGGGATCACGGAATAGCTCTGCATGCACTGCAGGGGAATGGGGCCTCATCTCGCCTCTAGGGGGAAGTCTCATGGTTTTTCTCGAGTTGCGGCGGGGACATGGGGTATGTTCTCGACTTACGGCGGGGATGGCCTTTCAAAACACGAGTTTCCTCAGTGACGTCAGGACTCCTGTCTAGTAACGAGGGACACCTCAGCAATCTCTTCGAGGCTTGGCAGGGCAAAAGGGACGCTTCTCGAGGTGAGCCTGGGCACCCAAGGACGCTTTCCAGTAGCAACAGGGATTTTGGGATTCCTATCAGTATTCAAGAGGAGTCAGGCATCGTCACCTTTTGAAGCAATGAACTCTGCGTGCCTCTCGAGTTGTCAGGGGGATGTGAGGTATTCCGTCAAAATGAGGCAGGGAACTAGGGCTTCCTCTAAGGTCTCCACAGGGGATTCAGACACCCCTTCATGTTGTCTGATCAAAGACGAGGCTGTATTCAACCCACTGCAAGGAAATCTGGCCTCCGTTCACATTAGGGCTTCTCCCTGTGTATTCCCCTTGAGGCAGCAAACTCGGGTTCCCTCCCACATACCTATTGCTGAGAGAAGCCTCCTCCTGAGATGCTTCTGGAAAGTTGGCATACGTCTTGAGCCTAAGCCAGGGAATCAGCTCTCATCTCGAGATGATTTGGGGTACACGGAGCATTCCTCCAGTTGCTGTGCTGAAGTTGGTGTTCCTCTAGCCTTGGGACAGTGTTCTCGGGGAATCTCTGGAGTTGCCTGAAGGAAGGCGAGCCTCCGTTCGTGTTGAACGGGGAACGGGGAATGGCTCTGGAGTCAATGCAGGGGATTCGGGCCTCATCTCGAGTTGATTTGGGGCACATGGAGCTGCTTTGCGTTGCTGCGGTGACCTCAGGGTCCGTCTAGACTGGTGACAGTGTTCTTGGGGACTGTCTCGAGATCCATTAAGCAAGTCGAAGCTCCTGACTTGTTTGAATGGGATCACGGAATAGCTCTGCATGCACTGCAGGGGAATGGGGCCTCATCTCGCCTCTAGGGGGAAGTCTCATGGTTTTTCTCGAGTTGCGGCAGGGACCTGGGGTATGTTCTCGACTTACGGCGGGGATGGCCCTTCAAAACACGAGTTTCTTCAGTGACGTCAGGACTCCTGCCTAGTAACGAGGGACACCTTAGGAATCTCTTCGAGGCTTGGCAGGGCAAAAGGGACGCTTCTCGTGGTGAGGCAGGGCACCCAAGAACCCTTTCCAGTAGCCACAGGAATTTTGGGATTCCTATCAGTATTCAAGAGGAGTCAGGCATCGTCACCTTTTGAAGCAATGAACTCCGCGTGCCTCTCGAGGTGTCAGCGGGATGTGAGGCATTCCGTCAAAATGAGGCAGGGACCTAGGGCTTTCTCTACGGTCTCCACAGGGGATTCAGACATCCCTTCATGTTGTCAGATCAAAGACGAGCCTGTATTCAAGCCACTGCAAGGAAATCCGGCCTCCTTTCAAGTTAGGGCTTCTCGCTGTATATTCCCCTTGAGGCAGCAAACTCGGGGTCCCTCCCACATACCTATTGCTGAGAGAAGCCTCCTCCTGAGGTGCTTCTGGAAAGTTGGCATACGTCTTGAGCCTAAGCGAGGGAATCACCTCTCATCTCGAGATGATTTGGGGTACACGGAGCATTCCTTGAGTTGCTGGGCTGAAGTTGGTGTTCCTCTAGACTTGGGACAGTGTTCTCGGGGCATCTCTGGAGTTGCCTGAAGGAAGGCGAGCCACCGGTCGTGTTGAATGGGGAACGGGGAATGGCTCTGGAGTCAATGCAGGGGAATCGGGCCTCATCTCGAGTTGATTTGGGGAACATGGAGCAGCTTTGCGTTGCTGGGGTGACCTCAGGCTCCGTCTAGACTGCAGACAGTATTCTTGGGGACTGTCTCGAGATCCATTAAGCAAGTCGAAGCTCCTGAATTGTTTGAATGGGATCACGGAATAGCTCTGCATGCACTGCAGGGGAATGGGGCCTCATCTCGCCTCTAGGGGGAAGTCTCATGGTTTTTCTCGAGTTGCGGCGGGGACCTGGGGTATGTTCTCGACTTACGGCGGAGATGGCCTTTCAAAACACGAGTTTCTTCAGTGACGTCAGGACTCCTGTCTAGTAACGAGGGACACCTCAGCAATCTCATCGAGGCTTGGCAGGGCAAAAGGGACGCTTCTCGAGGTGAGCCAGGGCACCCAAGGACCCTTCCCAGTAGCCACAGGGATTTTGGGATTCCTATAAGTATTCAAGAGGAGTCAGGCATCGTCACCTTTAGAAGCAATGAACTCCGCGTGCCTCTCCAGGTGTCAGCGGGATGTGAGGCATTCATTCAAAATGAGGAAGGGACCTAGGGCTTACTCTAAGGTCTACACAGGGGATTCAGACATCCCTTCATGTTGTCAGATCAAAGTCGAGCCTGTATTCAAGCCACTGCAAGGAAATCCGGCCTCCTTTCAAGTTAGGGCTTCTCGCTGTATATTCCCCTTGAGGCAGAAAACTCGGGGTCCCTCCCACATACCTATTGCTGAGAGAAGCCTCCTCCTGAGGTGCTTCTGGAAAGTTGGCATACGTCTTGAGCCTAAGCCAGGGAATCAGCTCTCATCTCGAGATGATTTGGGGTACACGGAGCATTCCTCGAGTTGCTGGGCTGAAGTTGGTGTTCCTCTAGACTTGGGACAGTGTTCTCGGGGCATCTCTGGAGTTGCCTGAAGGAAGTCGAGCCACCGGTCGTGTTGAATGGGGAACGGGGAATGGCTCTGGAGTCAATGCAGGGGAATCGGGCCTCATCTCGAGTTGATTTGGGGCACATGGAGCAGCTTTGCATTGCTGGGGTGACCTCAGGGTCCGTCTAGACTGGTGACAGTGTTCTTGGGGACTGTCTCGAGATCCATTAAGCAAGTCGAAGCTCCTGACTTGTTTGAATGGGATCACGGAATAGCTCTGCATGCACTGCAGGGGAATGGGGCCTCATCTCGCCTCTAGGGGGAAGTCTCACGGTTTTTGTCGACTTGCGGCGGGGACCTGGGGTATGTTCTCGACTTACGGCGGGGATGGCCCTTCAAAACACGAGTTTCTTCAGTGACGTCAGGACTCCTGCCTAGTAACGAGGGACACCTCAGGAATCTCTTCGAGGCTTGGCAGGGCAAAAGGGACGCTTCTCGAGGTGAGGCAGGGCACCCAAGGACCCTTTCCAGTAGCAACAGGGATTTTGGGATTCCTATAAGTATTCAAGATGAGTCAGGCATCGTCACCTTTTGAAGCAATGAACTCTGCGTGCCTCTCGAGGTGTCAGGGGGATGTGAGGTATTCCGTCAAAATGAGGCAGGGACCTAGGGCTTCCTCTAAGGTCTCCACAGGGGATTCAGACATCCCTTCATGTTGTCTGATCAAAGACGAGCCTGTATTCAAGCCACTGCAAGGAAATCTGGCCTCCGTTCACATTAGGGCTTCTCCCTGTGTATTCCCCTTGAGGCAGCAAACTCGGGGTCCCTCCAACATACCTATTGCTGAGAGAAGCCTCCTCCTGAGGTGCTTCTGGAAAGTTGGCATACGTCTTGAGCCTAACCCAGGGAATCAGCTCTCATCTCGAGACGATTTGTGGTGCACAGAGCATTCCTCGAGTTGCTGGGCTGAAGTTGGTGGTCCTCTAGACTTGGGACAGTGTTCTCGGGGCATCTCTGGAGTTGCCTGAAGGAAGTCGAGCCACCGGTATTGTTGAATATGGAACAGGGAATGTCTCTGGAGTCAATGCAGGAATCCGGCCTCATCTCTAGTTGATTTGGGGCACATGGAGCTGCTTTGCATTGCTGGGTGACCTCAGGGTCCGTCTAGACTGGTGACAGTGTTCTTGGGGACTGTCTCGAGATCCATTAAGCAAGTCGAAGCTCCTGACTTGTTTGAATGGGATCACGGAATAGCTCTGCATGCACTGCAGGGGAATGGGGCCTCATCTCGCCTCTAGGGGGAAGTCTCATGGTTTTTCTCGAGTTGCGGCGGGGACCTGGGGTATGTTCACGACTTACGGCGGGGATTACCCTTCAAAACACGAGTTTCTCCAGTGACGTCAGGACTCCTGCCTAGTAACGAGGGACACCTCAGGAATCTCTTCGAGGCTTGGCAGGGCAAAAGGGACGCTTCTCGAGGTGAGGCAGGGCACCCAAAGACCCTTTCCAGTAGCCTCAGGGATTTTGGGATTCCTATCAGTATTCAAGAGGAGTCAGGCATCGTCACCTTTTGAAGCAATGAACACCGCGAGCCTCTCGAGGTGTCAGCGGGATGTGAGGCATTCTGTCAAAATGAGGCAGGGTCCTAGGGCTTTCTCTAAGGTCTCCACAGGGGATTCAGACATCCCTTCATGTTGTGAGATGAAAGACAAGCCTGTATTCAAGCTACTGCAAGGAAATCCGGCCTCCTTTCAAGTTAGGGCTTCTCGCTGTATATTCCCCTTGAGGCAGCAAACTCAGAGTCCCTCCCACATACCTATTGCTGAGAAGCCTCCTCCTGAGGTGCTTCTGGAAAGTTGGCATACGTCTTGAGCCTAAGCCAGGGAATCAGCTCTCATCTCGAGACGATTTGGGGTACACAGAGCATTCCTCGAGTTGCTGTGCTGAAGTTGGTGTTCCTCTAGGCTTGGGACAGTGTTCTCGGGGCATCTCTGGAGTTGCCTGAAGGAAGGCGAGCCACCGGTCGTGTTGAACGGGGAACGGGGAATGGCTCTGGAGTCAATGCAGGGGAATCGGGCCTCATCTCGAGTTGATTTGGGGCACATGGAGCTGCTTTGCGTTGCTGGGGTGACCTCAGGGTCCGTCTAGACTGGTGACAGTGTTCTTGGGGACTGTCTCGAGATCCATTAAGCATGTCGAAGCTCCTGACTTGTTTGAATGGGATCACGGAATAGCTCTGCATGCACTGCAGGGGAATGGGGCCTCTTCTCGCCTATAGGGGGAAGTCTCATGGTTTTTCTCGAGTTGCGGCGGGGACCTGGGGTATGTTCTCCACTTACGGCGGAGATGGCCCTTCACAACACGACTTTCTTCAGTGACGTCAGGACTCCTGTCTAGTAACGAGGGACACCTCAGCAATCTCTTCGAGGCTTGGCAGGCAAAAGGGACGCTTCTCGAGGTGAGCCAGGGCACCCAAGGACCCTTTCCAGTAGCCACAGGGATTTTGGGATTCCTATAAGTATTCAAGAGGAGTCAGGCATCGTCACCTTTTGAAGCAATGAACTCTGCGTGCCTCTCGAGGTGTCAGGGGGATGTGAGGTATTCCGTCAAAATGAGGCAGGGACCTAGGGCTTTCTCTAAGGTCTCTACAGGGGATTCAGATATCCCTTCATGTTGTGAGATCAAAGACGAGCCTGTATTCAAGCCACTGCAAGGAAATCTGGTCTCCGTTCGCATTAGGACTTCTCCCTGTGTATTCCCCTTGAGGCAGCAAACTCGGGGTCCCTCCCACATACCTATTGCTGAGAGAAGCCTCCTCCTGAGGTGCTTCTGGAAAGTTGGCATACGTCTTGAGCCTAAGCCAGGGAATCAGCTCTCATCTCGAGATGATTTGGGGTACACGGAGCATTCCCCGAGTTGCTGTGCTGAAGTTGGTGTTCCTCTAGACTTGGGACAGTGTTCTCGGGGCATCTCTGGAGTTGCCTGAAGGAAGTCGAGCCACCGGTCGTGTTGAATGGGGAACGTGAAATGGCTCTGGTGTCAATGCAAGGGAATCGCGCCTCATCTCGAGTTGATTTGGGGCACATGGAGCTGCTTTGCATTGCTGGGTGACCTCAGGGTCCGTCTAGACTGGTGACAGTGTTCTTGGGGACTGTCTCGAGATCCATTAAGCAAGTCGAAGCTCCTGACTTGTTTGAATGGGATCACGGAATAGCTCTGCATGCACTGCAGGGGAATGGGGCCTCTTCTCGCCTATAGAGGGAAGTCTCATGGTTTTTCTCGAGTTGCGGCGGGGACCTGGGGTATGTTCTCCACTTACGGCGAAGATGGCCCTTCACAACACGAGTTTCTTCAGTGACGTCAGGACTCCTGTCTAGTAACGAGGGACACCTCAGCAATCTCTTCGAGGCTTGGCAGGGCAAAAGGGACGCTTCTCGAGGTGAGCCAGGGCACCCAAGGACCCTTTCCAGTAGCCACAGGGATTTTGGGATTCCTATAAGTATTCAAGAGGAGTCAGGCATCGTCACCTTTTGAAGCAATGAACTCTGCGTGCCTCTCAAGGTGTCAGGGGGATGTGAGGTATTCCGTCAAAATGAGGCAGGGACCTAGGGCTTCCTCTAAGGTCTCCACAGGGGATTCAGACATCCCTTCATGTTGTCAGATCAAAGACGAGCCTGTATTCAAGCCACTGCAAGGAAATCTGGCCTCCGTTCACATTAGGGCTTCTCCCTGTGTATTCCCCTTGAGGCAGCAAAATCGGGGTCCTTCCCACATATCTATTGCTGAGAGAAGCCTCCTCCTGAGGTGCTTCTGGAAAGTTGGCATACGTCTTGAGCCTAAGCCAGGGAATCAGCTCTCATGTCGAGATGATTTGTGGTATACGGAGCATTCCTCGAGTTGCTGTGCTGAAGTTGTTGTTCCTCTAGACTTGGGACAGTGTTCTCGGGGCATCTCTGGAGTTTCCTGAAGGAAGTCGAGCCACCGGTCGTGTTGAATGGGGAACGGGGAATGGCTCTGGAGTCAATGCAGTGGAATCGGGCCTCATCTCGAGTTGATTTGTGGCACATGGAGCAGCTTTGCGTTGCTGCGGTGACCTCAGGGTCCGTCTAGACTGGTGACAATGTTCTTGGGGACTGTCTCGAGATCCATTAAGCAAGTCGAAGCTCCTGACTTGTTTGAATGGCATCACGCAATAGCTCTGCATGCACTGCAGGGGAATGGGGCCTCATCTCGCCTCTAGGGGGAAGTCTCATGGTTTTTCTCGAGTTGCGGCGGGGACCTGGGGTATGTTCTCGACATACGGCGGGGATGGCCCTTCAAAACACGATTTTCTTCAGTGACGTCAGGACTCCTCTCTAGTAACGAGGGACACCTCAGGAATCTCTTCGAGGATTGGCAGGGCAAAAGGGACGCTTCTCGAGGTGAGGCAGGGCACCCAAGGACCCTTTCTAGTAGCCACAGAGATTTTGGAATTCCTATCAGTATTCAAGAGGAGTCAGGCATCGTCACCTTTTGAAGCAATGAACTCCGCGTGCCTCTCGAGGTGTCAGCGGGATGTGAGGATTCCGTCAAAATGAGGCAGGTACCTAGGGCTTTCTCTAAGGTCTCCACAGGGGATTCAGACATCCCTTCATGTTGTCAGATCAAAGACGAGCCTGTATTCAAGCCACTGCAAGGAAAACCGGCCTCCTTTCAAGATAGGGCGTCTCGCTGTATATTCCCCTTGAGGCAGCAAACTCGGGGTCCCTCCAACATACCTATTGCTGAGAGAAACCTCCTCCTGAGGTGCTTCTGGAAAGTTGGCATACGTCTTAAGCCTAAGCCAGGGAATCAGCTCTCATCTCGAGACGATTTGGGGTACACAGAGCATTCCTCGAGTTGCTGTGCTGAAGTTGGTGGTCCTCTAGACTTGGGACAGTGTTCTCGGGGAATCTCTGGAGTTGCCTGAATGAAGTCGAGCCACCGGTCGTGTTGAATGGGGAACAGGGAATGGCTCTGCAGTCAATGCAGGGGAATCGGGCCTCATCTCGAGTTGATTTGGGGCAAATGGAGCTGCTTTGCAATGCTGGGTGACCTCAGTGTCCGTCTAGACTGGTGACAGTGTTCTTGGGGACTGTCTCGAGATCCATTAAGCAAGTCGAAGCTCCTGACTTGTTTGAATGGGATCACGGAATAGCTCTGCATGCACTGCAGGGGAATGGGGCCTCATCTCTCCTCTAGGGGGAAGTCTCACGGTTTTTCTCGAGTTGCGGCGGGGACCTGGGGTATGTTCTCGACTTAAAGCGGGGATGGCCCTTCAAAACACGAGTTCCTCCAGTGACGTCAGGACTCCTGCCTAGTAACGAGGGACACCTCAGGAATCTCTTCGAGGCTTGGCAGGGCAAAAGGGACGCTTCTCGAGGTGAGCCAGGGCACCCAAGGACCCTTTCCAGTAGCCACAGGGATTTTGGGATTCCTATCAGTATTCAAGAGGAGTCAGGCATCGTCACCTTTTGAAGCAATGAAATCCGCGAGACTCTCGAGGTGTCAGCGGGATGTGAGGCATTCCGTCAAAATGAGGCAGGGACCTAGGGCTTTCTCTAAGGTCTCCACAGGGGATTCAGACATCCCTTCATGTTGTCAGATCAAAGACGAGCCTGTATTCAAGCCACTGCAAGGAAATCTGGCCTCCTTTCAAGTTAGGGCTTCTCGCTGTATATTCCCCTTGAGGCAGCAAACTCGGGGTCCCTCGCACATACCTATTGCTGAGAGAAGCCTCCTCCTGAGGTGCTTCTGGAAAGTTGGCCTACGTCTTGAGCCTAAGCCAGGGCATCAGCTCTCATCTCGAGATGATTTGGGGTACACGGAGCATTCCTCGAGTTGCTGTGCTGAAGTTGGTGTTCCTCTAGACTTGGGACAGTGTTCTCGGGGCATCTCTGGAGTTGCCTGAAGGAAGTCGAGCCACCGGTCGTGTTGAATGGGGAACGGGGAATGGCTCTGGAGTCAATGCAGGGGAATCGGGCCTCATCTCGAGTTGATTTGGGGCACATGGAGCAGCTTTGCGTTGCTGGGGTGACCTCAGGGTCCGTCTAGACTGGTGACAGTGTCCTTGGGGACTGTCTCGAGATCCATTAAGCAAGTCGAAGCTCCTGACTTGTTTGAATGGGATCACGGAATAGCTCTGCATGCACTGCAGGGGAATGGGGCCTCATCTCGCCTCTAGGGGGAAGTCTCATGGTTTTTCTCGGGTTGCGGCGGGGACCTGGGGTATGTTATCGACTTACCGCGGGGATGGCCCTTCAAAACACGAGTTTCTTCACTGACGTCAGGACTCCTGCCTAGTAACGAGGGACACCTCAGGAATCTCTTCGAGGCTTGGCAGGGCAAAAGGGACGCTTCTCGAGGTGAGGCAGGGCACCCAAGGACCCTTCCCAGTAGCCACAGGGATTTTGGGATTCCTATAAGTATTCAAGAGGAGTCAGGCATCGTCACCTTTTGAAGCAATGAACTCCGCGTGCCTCTCCAGGTGTCAGCGGGATGTGAGGCATTCATTCAAAATGAGGAAGGGACCTAGGGCTTACTCTAAGGTCTACACAGGGGATTCAGACATCCCTTCATGTTGTCAGATCAAAGTCGAGCCTGTATTCAAGCCACTGCAAGGAAATCCGGCCTCCTTTCAAGTTAGGGCTTCTCGCTGTATATTCCCCTTGAGGCAGAAAACTCGGGGTCCCTCCCACATACCTATTGCTGAGAGAAGCCTCCTCCTGAGGTGCTTCTGGAAAGTTGGCATACGTCTTGAGCCTAAGCCAGGGAATCAGCTCTCATCTCGAGATGATTTGGGGTACACGGAGCATTCCTCGAGTTGCTGGGCTGAAGTTGGTGTTCCTCTAGACTTGGGACAGTGTTCTCGGGGCATCTCTGGAGTTGCCTGAAGGAAGTCGAGCCACCGGTCGTGTTGAATGGGGAACGGGGAATGGCTCTGGAGTCAATGCAGGGGAATCGGGGCTCATCTCGAGTTGATTTGGGGCACATGGAGCAGCTTTGCATTGCTGGGGTGACCTCAGGGTCCGTCTAGACTGGTGACAGTGTTCTTGGGGACTGTCTCGAGATCCATTAAGCAAGTCGAAGCTCCTGACTTGTTTGAATGGGATCACGGAATAGCTCTGCATGCACTGCAGGGGAATGGGGCCTCATCTCGCCTCTAGGGGGAAGTCTCACGGTTTTTGTCGACTTGCGGCGGGGACCTGGGGTATGTTCTCGACTTACGGCGGGGATGGCCCTTCAAAACACGAGTTTCTTCAGTGACGTCAGGACTCCTGCCTAGTAACGAGGGACACCTCAGGAATCTCTTCGAGGCTTGGCAGGGCAAAAGGGACGCTTCTCGAGGTGAGGCAGGGCACCCAAGGACCCTTTCCAGTAGCAACAGGGATTTTGGGATTCCTATAAGTATTCAAGATGAGTCAGGCATCGTCACCTTTTGAAGCAATGAACTCTGCGTGCCTCTCGAGGTGTCAGGGGGATGTGAGGTATTCCGTCAAAATGAGGCAGGGACCTAGGGCTTCCTCTAAGGTCTCCACAGGGGATTCAGACATCCCTTCATGTTGTCTGATCAAAGACGAGCCTGTATTCAAGCCACTGCAAGGAAATCTGGCCTCCGTTCACATTAGGGCTTCTCCCTGTGTATTCCCCTTGAGGCAGCAAACTCGGGGTCCCTCCAACATACCTATTGCTGAGAGAAGCCTCCTCCTGAGGTGCTTCTGGAAAGTTGGCATACGTCTTGAGCCTAACCCAGGGAATCAGCTCTCATCTCGAGACGATTTGTGGTGCACAGAGCATTCCTCGAGTTGCTGTGCTGAAGTTGGTGGTCCTCTAGACTTGGGACAGTGTTCTCGGGGCATCTCTGGAGTTGCCTGAAGGAAGTCGAGCCACCGGTATTGTTGAATATGGAACAGGGAATGTCTCTGGAGTCAATGCAGGAATCCGGCCTCATCTCTAGTTGATTTGGGGCACATGGAGCTGCTTTGCATTGCTGGGTGACCTCAGGGTCCGTCTAGACTGGTGACAGTGTTCTTGGGGACTGTCTCGAGATCCATTAAGCAAGTCGAAGCTCCTGACTTGTTTGAATGGGATCACGGAATAGCTCTGCATGCACTGCAGGGGAATGGGGCCTCATCTCGCCTCTAGGGGGAAGTCTCATGGTTTTTCTCGAGTTGCGGCGGGGACCTGGGGTATGTTCACGACTTACGGCGGGGATTACCCTTCAAAACACGAGTTTCTCCAGTGACGTCAGGACTCCTGCCTAGTAACGAGGGACACCTCAGGAATCTCTTCGAGGCTTGGCAGGGCAAAAGGGACGCTTCTCGAGGTGAGGCAGGGCACCCAAAGACCCTTTCCAGTAGCCTCAGGGATTTTGGGATTCCTATCAGTATTCAAGAGGAGTCAGGCATCGTCACCTTTTGAAGCAATGAACACCGCGAGCCTCTCGAGGTGTCAGCGGGATGTGAGGCATTCTGTCAAAATGAGGCAGGGTCCTAGGGCTTTCTCTAAGGTCTCCACAGGGGATTCAGACATCCCTTCATGTTGTGAGATGAAAGACAAGCCTGTATTCAAGCTACTGCAAGGAAATCCGGCCTCCTTTCAAGTTAGGGCTTCTCGCTGTATATTCCCCTTGAGGCAGCAAACTCAGAGTCCCTCCCACATACCTATTGCTGAGAAGCCTCCTCCTGAGGTGCTTCTGGAAAGTTGGCATACGTCTTGAGCCTAAGCCAGGGAATCAGCTCTCATCTCGAGACGATTTGGGGTACACAGAGCATTCCTCGAGTTGCTGTGCTGAAGTTGGTGTTCCTCTAGGCTTGGGACAGTGTTCTCGGGGCATCTCTGGAGTTGCCTGAAGGAAGGCGAGCCACCGGTCGTGTTGAACGGGGAACGGGGAATGGCTCTGGAGTCAATGCAGGGGAATCGGGCCTCATCTCGAGTTGATTTGGGGCACATGGAGCTGCTTTGCGTTGCTGGGGTGACCTCAGGGTCCGTCTAGACTGGTGACAGTGTTCTTGGGGACTGTCTCGAGATCCATTAAGCATGTCGAAGCTCCTGACTTGTTTGAATGGGATCACGGAATAGCTCTGCATGCACTGCAGGGGAATGGGGCCTCTTCTCGCCTATAGGGGGAAGTCTCATGGTTTTTCTCGAGTTGCGGCGGGGACCTGGGGTATGTTCTCCACTTACGGCGGAGATGGCCCTTCACAACACGACTTTCTTCAGTGACGTCAGGACTCCTGTCTAGTAACGAGGGACACCTCAGCAATCTCTTCGAGGCTTGGCAGGCAAAAGGGACGCTTCTCGAGGTGAGCCAGGGCACCCAAGGACCCTTTCCAGTAGCCACAGGGATTTTGGGATTCCTATAAGTATTCAAGAGGAGTCAGGCATCGTCACCTTTTGAAGCAATGAACTCTGCGTGCCTCTCGAGGTGTCAGGGGGATGTGAGGTATTCCGTCAAAATGAGGCAGGGACCTAGGGCTTTCTCTAAGGTCTCTACAGGGGATTCAGATATCCCTTCATGTTGTGAGATCAAAGACGAGCCTGTATTCAAGCCACTGCAAGGAAATCTGGTCTCCGTTCACATTAGGACTTCTCCCTGTGTATTCCCCTTGAGGCAGCAAACTCGGGGTCCCTCCCACATACCTATTGCTGAGAGAAGCCTCCTCCTGAGGTGCTTCTGGAAAGTTGGCATACGTCTTGAGCCTAAGCCAGGGAATCAGCTCTCATCTCGAGATGATTTGGGGTACACGGAGCATTCCCCGAGTTGCTGTGCTGAAGTTGGTGTTCCTCTAGACTTGGGACAGTGTTCTCGGGGCATCTCTGGAGTTGCCTGAAGGAAGTCGAGCCACCGGTCGTGTTGAATGGGGAACGTGAAATGGCTCTGGTGTCAATGCAAGGGAATCGCGCCTCATCTCGAGTTGATTTGGGGCACATGGAGCTGCTTTGCATTGCTGGGTGACCTCAGGGTCCGTCTAGACTGGTGACAGTGTTCTTGGGGACTGTCTCGAGATCCATTAAGCAAGTCGAAGCTCCTGACTTGTTTGAATGGGATCACGGAATAGCTCTGCATGCACTGCAGGGGAATGGGGCCTCTTCTCGCCTATAGAGGGAAGTCTCATGGTTTTTCTCGAGTTGCGGCGGGGACCTGGGGTATGTTCTCCACTTACGGCGAAGATGGCCCTTCACAACACGAGTTTCTTCAGTGACGTCAGGACTCCTGTCTAGTAACGAGGGACACCTCAGCAATCTCTTCGAGGCTTGGCAGGGCAAAAGGGACGCTTCTCGAGGTGAGCCAGGGCACCCAAGGACCCTTTCCAGTAGCCACAGGGATTTTGGGATTCCTATAAGTATTCAAGAGGAGTCAGGCATCGTCACCTTTTGAAGCAATGAACTCTGCGTGCCTCTCGAGGTGTCAGGGGGATGTGAGGTATTCCGTCAAAATGAGGCAGGGACCTAGGGCTTCCTCTAAGGTCTCCACAGGGGATTCAGACATCCCTTCATGTTGTCAGATCAAAGACGAGCCTGTATTCAAGCCACTGCAAGGAAATCTGGCCTCCGTTCACATTAGGGCTTCTCCCTGTGTATTCCCCTTGAGGCAGCAAAATCGGGGTCCTTCCCACATATCTATTGCTGAGAGAAGCCTCCTCCTGAGCTGCTTCTGGAAAGTTGGCATACGTCTTGAGCCTAAGCCAGGGAATCAGCTCTCATGTCCAGATGATTTGTGGTATACGGAGCATTCCTCGAGTTGCTGTGCTGAAGTTGTTGTTCCTCTAGACTTGGGACAGTGTTCTCGGGGCATCTCTGGAGTTTCCTGAAGGAAGTCGAGCCACCGGTCGTGTTGAATGGGGAACGGGGAATGGCTCTGGAGTCAATGCAGTGGAATCGGGCCTCATCTCGAGTTGATTTGTGGCACATGGAGCAGCTTTGCGTTGCTGCGGTGACCTCAGGGTCCGTCTAGACTGGTGACAATGTTCTTGGGGACTGTCTCGAGATCCATTAAGCAAGTCGAAGCTCCTGACTTGTTTGAATGGCATCACGCAATAGCTCTGCATGCACTGCAGGGGAATGGGGCCTCATCTCGCCTCTAGGGGGAAGTCTCATGGTTTTTCTCGAGTTGCGGCGGGGACCTGGGGTATGTTCTCGACTTACGGCGGGGATGGCCCTTCAAAACACGATTTTCTTCAGTGACGTCAGGACTCCTCTCTAGTAACGAGGGACACCTCAGGAATCTCTTCGAGGATTGGCAGGGCAAAAGGGACGCTTCTCGAGGTGAGGCAGGGCACCCAAGGACCCTTTCTAGTAGCCACAGAGATTTTGGAATTCCTATCAGTATTCAAGAGGAGTCAGGCATCGTCACCTTTTGAAGCAATGAACTCCGCGTGCCTCTCGAGGTGTCAGCGGGATGTGAGGATTCCGTCAAAATGAGGCAGGTACCTAGGGCTTTCTCTAAGGTCTCCACAGGGGATTCAGACATCCCTTCATGTTGTCAGATCAAAGACGAGCCTGTATTCAAGCCACTGCAAGGAAAACCGGCCTCCTTTCAAGATAGGGCGTCTCGCTGTATATTCCCCTTGAGGCAGCAAACTCGGGGTCCCTCCAACATACCTATTGCTGAGAGAAACCTCCTCCTGAGGTGCTTCTGGAAAGTTGGCATACGTCTTAAGCCTAAGCCAGGGAATCAGCTCTCATCTCGAGACGATTTGGGGTACACAGAGCATTCCTCGAGTTGCTGTGCTGAAGTTGGTGTTCCTCTAGACTTGGGACAGTGTTCTCGGGGCATCTCTGGAGTTGCCTGAAGGAAGGCGAGCCTCCGTTCTTGTTGAACGGGGAACGGGGAATGGCTCTGGAGTCAATGCAGGGGAATCGGGCCTCATCTCGAGTTGATTTGGGGCACATGGATCTGCTTTGCGTTGCTGGGGTGACCTCAGGGTCCGTCTAGACTGGTGACAGTGTTCTTGGGGACTGTCTCGAGATCCATTAAGCAAGTCGAAGCTCCTGACTTGTTTGAATGGGATCACGGAATAGCTCTGCATGCACTGCAGGGGAATGGGGCCTCATCTCGCCTCTAGGGGGAAGTCTCATGGTTTTTCTCGAGTTGCGGCGGGGACCTGGGGTATGTTCTCGACTTACTGCGGGGATGGCCCTTCAAAACACGAGTTTCTTCAGTGACTTCAGTACTCCTGTCTAGTAACGAGGGACACCTCAGCAATCTCTTCGAGGCTTGGCAGGGCAAAGGGGACGCTTCTCGAGGTGAGCCAGGGCACCCAAGGACCCTTTCCAGTAGCAACAGGGATTTTGGGATTCCTATCAGTATTCAAGAGGACTCAGGCATCGTCACCTTTTGAAGCAATGAACTCCGCGTGCCTCTCGAGGTGTCAGCGTGATGTGAGGCATTCCGTCAAAATGAGGCAGGGACCTAGGGCTTTCTCTAAGGTCTCCACAGGGGATTCAGACATCCCTTCATGTTGTGAGATGAAAGACAAGCCTGTATTCAAGCTACTGCAAGGAAATCCGGCCTCCTTTCAAGTTAGGGCTTCTCGATGTATATTCCCCTTGAGGCAGCAAACTCGGAGTCCCTCCCACATACCTATTGCTGAGAAGCCTCCTCCTGAGGTGCTTCTGGAAAGTCGGCATACGTCTTGAGCCTAAGCCAGGGAATCAGCTCTCATCTCGAGACGATTTGGGGTACACAGAGCATTCCTCGAGTTGCTGTGCTGAAGTTGGTGTTCCTCTAGACTTGGGACAGTGTTCTCGGGGCATCTCTGGAGTTGCCTGAAGGAAGGCGAGCCTCCGTTCGTGTTGAACGGGGAACGGGAAATGGCTCTGGAGTCAATGCAGGGGAATCTGGCCTCATCTCGAGTTCATTTGGGGCACATGGAGCTGCTTTGCTTTGCTGGGGTGACCTCAGGGTCCGTCTAGACTGGTGACAGTGTTCTTGGGGACTGTCTCGAGATCCATTAAGCAAGTCGAAGCTCCTGACTTGTTTGAATGGGATCACGGAATAGCTCTGCATGCACTGCAGGGGAATGGGGCCTCATCTCGCCTCTAGGGGGAAGTCTCATGGTTTTTCTCGAGTTGCGGCGGGGACATGGGGTATGTTCTCGACTTACGGCGGGGATGGCCTTTCAAAACACGAGTTTCCTCAGTGACGTCAGGACTCCTGTCTAGTAACGAGGGACACCTCAGCAATCTCTTCGAGGCTTGGCAGGGCAAAAGGGACGCTTCTCGAGGTGAGCCTGGGCACCCAAGGACGCTTTCCAGTAGCAACAGGGATTTTGGGATTCCTATCAGTATTCAAGAGGAGTCAGGCATCGTCACCTTTTGAAGCAATGAACTCTGCGTGCCTCTCGAGTTGTCAGGGGGATGTGAGGTATTCCGTCAAAATGAGGCAGGGAACTAGGGCTTCCTCTAAGGTCTCCACAGGGGATTCAGACACCCCTTCATGTTGTCTGATCAAAGACGAGGCTGTATTCAACCCACTGCAAGGAAATCTGGCCTCCGTTCACATTAGGGCTTCTCCCTGTGTATTCCCCTTGAGGCAGCAAACTCGGGTTCCCTCCCACATACCTATTGCTGAGAGAAGCCTCCTCCTGAGATGCTTCTGGAAAGTTGGCATACGTCTTGAGCCTAAGCCAGGGAATCAGCTCTCATCTCGAGATGATTTGGGGTACACGGAGCATTCCTCCAGTTGCTGTGCTGAAGTTGGTGTTCCTCTAGCCTTGGGACAGTGTTCTCGGGGAATCTCTGGAGTTGCCTGAAGGAAGGCGAGCCTCCGTTCGTGTTGAACGGGGAACGGGGAATGGCTCTGGAGTCAATGCAGGGGATTCGGGCCTCATCTCGAGTTGATTTGGGGCACATGGAGCTGCTTTGCGTTGCTGCGGTGACCTCAGGGTCCGTCTAGACTGGTGACAGTGTTCTTGGGGACTGTCTCGAGATCCATTAAGCAAGTCGAAGCTCCTGACTTGTTTGAATGGGATCACGGAATAGCTCTGCATGCACTGCAGGGGAATGGGGCCTCATCTCGCCTCTAGGGGGAAGTCTCATGGTTTTTCTCGAGTTGCGGCAGGGACCTGGGGTATGTTCTCGACTTACGGCGGGGATGGCCCTTCAAAACACGAGTTTCTTCAGTGACGTCAGGACTCCTGCCTAGTAACGAGGGACACCTTAGGAATCTCTTCGAGGCTTGGCAGGGCAAAAGGGACGCTTCTCGTGGTGAGGCAGGGCACCCAAGGACCCTTTCCAGTAGCCACAGGAATTTTGGGATTCCTCTCAGTATTCAAGAGGAGTCAGGCATCGTCACCTTTTGAAGCAATGAACTCCGCGTGCCTCTCGAGGTGTCAGCGGGATGTGAGGCATTCCGTCAAAATGAGGCAGGGACCTAGGGCTTTCTCTACGGTCTCCACAGGGGATTCAGACATCCCTTCATGTTGTCAGATCAAAGACGAGCCTGTATTCAAGCCACTGCAAGGAAATCCGGCCTCCTTTCAAGTTAGGGCTTCTCGCTGTATATTCCCCTTGAGGCAGCAAACTCGGGGTCCCTCCCACATACCTATTGCTGAGAGAAGCCTCCTCCTGAGGTGCTTCTGGAAAGTTGGCATACGTCTTGAGCCTAAGCGAGGGAATCACCTCTCATCTCGAGATGATTTGGGGTACACGGAGCATTCCTTGAGTTGCTGGGCTGAAGTTGGTGTTCCTCTAGACTTGGGACAGTGTTCTCGGGGCATCTCTGGAGTTGCCTGAAGGAAGGCGAGCCACCGGTCGTGTTGAATGGGGAACGGGGAATGGCTCTGGAGTCAATGCAGGGGAATCGGGCCTCATCTCGAGTTGATTTGGGGAACATGGAGCAGCTTTGCGTTGCTGGGGTGACCTCAGGCTCCGTCTAGACTGCAGACAGTGTTCTTGGGGACTGTCTCGAGATCCATTAAGCAAGTCGAAGCTCCTGAATTGTTTGAATGGGATCACGGAATAGCTCTGCATGCACTGCAGGGGAATGGGGCCTCATCTCGCCTCTAGGGGGAAGTCTCATGGTTTTTCTCGAGTTGCGGCGGGGACCTGGGGTATGTTCTCGACTTACGGCGGAGATGGCCTTTCAAAACACGAGTTTCTTCAGTGACGTCAGGACTCCTGTCTAGTAACGAGGGACACCTCAGCAATCTCATCGAGGCTTGGCAGGGCAAAAGGGACGCTTCTCGAGGTGAGCCAGGGCACCCAAGGACCCTTCCCAGTAGCCACAGGGATTTTTGGATTCCTATAAGTATTCAAGAGGAGTCAGGCATCGTCACCTTTTGAAGCAATGAACTCCGCGTGCCTCTCCAGGTGTCAGCGGGATGTGAGGCATTCATTCAAAATGAGGAAGGGACCTAGGGCTTACTCTAAGGTCTACACAGGGGATTCAGACATCCCTTCATGTTGTCAGATCAAAGTCGAGCCTGTATTCAAGCCACTGCAAGGAAATCCGGCCTCCTTTCAAGTTAGGGCTTCTCGCTGTATATTCCCCTTGAGGCAGCAAACTCGGGGTCCCTCCCACATACCTATTGCTGAGAGAAGCCTCCTCCTGAGGTGCTTCTGGAAAGTTGGCATACGTCTTGAGCCTAAGCCAGGGAATCAGCTCTCATCTCGAGATGATTTGGGGTACACGGAGCATTCCTCGAGTTGCTGGGCTGAAGTTGGTGTTCCTCTAGACTTGGGACAGTGTTCTCGGGGCATCTCTGGAGTTGCCTGAAGGAAGTCGAGCCACCGGTCGTGTTGAATGGGGAACGGGGAATGGCTCTGGAGTCAATGCAGGGGAATCGGGCCTCATCTCGAGTTGATTTGGGGCACATGGAGCAGCTTTGCATTGCTGGGGTGACCTCAGGGTCCGTCTAGACTGGTGACAGTGTTCTTGGGGACTGTCTCGAGATCCATTAAGCAAGTCGAAGCTCCTGACTTGTTTGAATGGGATCACGGAATAGCTCTGCATGCACTGCAGGGGAATGGGGCCTCATCTCGCCTCTAGGGGGAAGTCTCACGGTTTTTGTCGACTTGCGGCGGGGACCTGGGGTATGTTCTCGACTTACGGCGGGGATGGCCCTTCAAAACACGAGTTTCTTCAGTGACGTCAGGACTCCTGCCTAGTAACGAGGGACACCTCAGGAATCTCTTCGAGGCTTGGCAGGGCAAAAGGGACGCTTCTCGAGGTGAGGCAGGGCACCCAAGGACCCTTTCCAGTAGCAACAGGGATTTTGGGATTCCTATAAGTATTCAAGATGAGTCAGGCATCGTCACCTTTTGAAGCAATGAACTCTGCGTGCCTCTCGAGGTGTCAGGGGGATGTGAGGTATTCCGTCAAAATGAGGCAGGGACCTAGGGCTTCCTCTAAGGTCTCCACAGGGGATTCAGACATCCCTTCATGTTGTCTGATCAAAGACGAGCCTGTATTCAAGCCACTGCAAGGAAATCTGGCCTCCGTTCACATTAGGGCTTCTCCCTGTGTATTCCCCTTGAGGCAGCAAACTCGGGGTCCCTCCAACATACCTATTGCTGAGAGAAGCCTCCTCCTGAGGTGCTTCTGGAAAGTTGGCATACGTCTTGAGCCTAACCCAGGGAATCAGCTCTCATCTCGAGACGATTTGTGGTGCACAGAGCATTCCTCGAGTTGCTGGGCTGAAGTTGGTGGTCCTCTAGACTTGGGACAGTGTTCTCGGGGCATCTCTGGAGTTGCCTGAAGGAAGTCGAGCCACCGGTATTGTTGAATATGGAACAGGGAATGTCTCTGGAGTCAATGCAGGAATCCGGCCTCATCTCTAGTTGATTTGGGGCACATGGAGCTGCTTTGCATTGCTGGGTGACCTCAGGGTCCGTCTAGACTGGTGACAGTGTTCTTGGGGACTGTCTCGAGATCCATTAAGCAAGTCGAAGCTCCTGACTTGTTTGAATGGGATCACGGAATAGCTCTGCATGCACTGCAGGGGAATGGGGCCTCATCTCGCCTCTAGGGGGAAGTCTCATGGTTTTTCTCGAGTTGCGGCGGGGACCTGGGGTATGTTCACGACTTACGGCGGGGATTACCCTTCAAAACACGAGTTTCTCCAGTGACGTCAGGACTCCTGCCTAGTAACGAGGGACACCTCAGGAATCTCTTCGAGGCTTGGCAGGGCAAAAGGGACGCTTCTCGAGGTGAGGCAGGGCACCCAAAGACCCTTTCCAGTAGCCTCAGGGATTTTGGGATTCCTATCAGTATTCAAGAGGAGTCAGGCATCGTCACCTTTTGAAGCAATGAACACCGCGAGCCTCTCGAGGTGTCAGCGGGATGTGAGGCATTCTGTCAAAATGAGGCAGGGTCCTAGGGCTTTCTCTAAGGTCTCCACAGGGGATTCAGACATCCCTTCATGTTGTGAGATGAAAGACAAGCCTGTATTCAAGCTACTGCAAGGAAATCCGGCCTCCTTTCAAGTTAGGGCTTCTCGCTGTATATTCCCCTTGAGGCAGCAAACTCAGAGTCCCTCCCACATACCTATTGCTGAGAAGCCTCCTCCTGAGGTGCTTCTGGAAAGTTGGCATACGTCTTGAGCCTAAGCCAGGGAATCAGCTCTCATCTCGAGACGATTTGGGGTACACAGAGCATTCCTCGAGTTGCTGTGCTGAAGTTGGTGTTCCTCTAGGCTTGGGACAGTGTTCTCGGGGCATCTCTGGAGTTGCCTGAAGGAAGGCGAGCCACCGGTCGTGTTGAACGGGGAACGGGGAATGGCTCTGGAGTCAATGCAGGGGAATCGGGCCTCATCTCGAGTTGATTTGGGGCACATGGAGCTGCTTTGCGTTGCTGGGGTGACCTCAGGGTCCGTCTAGACTGGTGACAGTGTTCTTGGGGACTGTCTCGAGATCCATTAAGCATGTCGAAGCTCCTGACTTGTTTGAATGGGATCACGGAATAGCTCTGCATGCACTGCAGGGGAATGGGGCCTCTTCTCGCCTATAGGGGGAAGTCTCATGGTTTTTCTCGAGTTGCGGCGGGGACCTGGGGTATGTTCTCCACTTACGGCGGAGATGGCCCTTCACAACACGACTTTCTTCAGTGACGTCAGGACTCCTGTCTAGTAACGAGGGACACCTCAGCAATCTCTTCGAGGCTTGGCAGGCAAAAGGGACGCTTCTCGAGGTGAGCCAGGGCACCCAAGGACCCTTTCCAGTAGCCACAGGGATTTTGGGATTCCTATAAGTATTCAAGAGGAGTCAGGCATCGTCACCTTTTGAAGCAATGAACTCTGCGTGCCTCTCGAGGTGTCAGGGGGATGTGAGGTATTCCGTCAAAATGAGGCAGGGACCTAGGGCTTTCTCTAAGGTCTCTACAGGGGATTCAGATATCCCTTCATGTTGTGAGATCAAAGACGAGCCTGTATTCAAGCCACTGCAAGGAAATCTGGTCTCCGTTCACATTAGGACTTCTCCCTGTGTATTCCCCTTGAGGCAGCAAACTCGGGGTCCCTCCCACATACCTATTGCTGAGAGAAGCCTCCTCCTGAGGTGCTTCTGGAAAGTTGGCATACGTCTTGAGCCTAAGCCAGGGAATCAGCTCTCATCTCGAGATGATTTGGGGTACACGGAGCATTCCCCGAGTTGCTGTGCTGAAGTTGGTGTTCCTCTAGACTTGGGACAGTGTTCTCGGGGCATCTCTGGAGTTGCCTGAAGGAAGTCGAGCCACCGGTCGTGTTGAATGGGGAACGTGAAATGGCTCTGGTGTCAATGCAAGGGAATCGCGCCTCATCTCGAGTTGATTTGGGGCACATGGAGCTGCTTTGCATTGCTGGGTGACCTCAGGGTCCGTCTAGACTGGTGACAGTGTTCTTGGGGACTGTCTCGAGATCCATTAAGCAAGTCGAAGCTCCTGACTTGTTTGAATGGGATCACGGAATAGCTCTGCATGCACTGCAGGGGAATGGGGCCTCTTCTCGCCTATAGAGGGAAGTCTCATGGTTTTTCTCGAGTTGCGGCGGGGACCTGGGGTATGTTCTCCACTTACGGCGAAGATGGCCCTTCACAACACGAGTTTCTTCAGTGACGTCAGGACTCCTGTCTAGTAACGAGGGACACCTCAGCAATCTCTTCGAGGCTTGGCAGGGCAAAAGGGACGCTTCTCGAGGTGAGCCAGGGCACCCAAGGACCCTTTCCAGTAGCCACAGGGATTTTGGGATTCCTATAAGTATTCAAGAGGAGTCAGGCATCGTCACCTTTTGAAGCAATGAACTCTGCGTGCCTCTCGAGGTGTCAGGGGGATGTGAGGTATTCCGTCAAAATGAGGCAGGGACCTAGGGCTTCCTCTAAGGTCTCCACAGGGGATTCAGACATCCCTTCATGTTGTCAGATCAAAGACGAGCCTGTATTCAAGCCACTGCAAGGAAATCTGGCCTCCGTTCACATTAGGGCTTCTCCCTGTGTATTCCCCTTGAGGCAGCAAAATCGGGGTCCTTCCCACATATCTATTGCTGAGAGAAGCCTCCTCCTGAGCTGCTTCTGGAAAGTTGGCATACGTCTTGAGCCTAAGCCAGGGAATCAGCTCTCATGTCGAGATGATTTGTGGTATACGGAGCATTCCTCGAGTTGCTGTGCTGAAGTTGTTGTTCCTCTAGACTTGGGACAGTGTTCTCGGGGCATCTCTGGAGTTTCCTGAAGGAAGTCGAGCCACCGGTCGTGTTGAATGGGGAACGGGGAATGGCTCTGGAGTCAATGCAGTGGAATCGGGCCTCATCTCGAGTTGATTTGTGGCACATGGAGCAGCTTTGCGTTGCTGCGGTGACCTCAGGGTCCGTCTAGACTGGTGACAATGTTCTTGGGGACTGTCTCGAGATCCATTAAGCAAGTCGAAGCTCCTGACTTGTTTGAATGGCATCACGCAATAGCTCTGCATGCACTGCAGGGGAATGGGGCCTCATCTCGCCTCTAGGGGGAAGTCTCATGGTTTTTCTCGAGTTGCGGCGGGGACCTGGGGTATGTTCTCGACTTACGGCGGGGATGGCCCTTCAAAACACGATTTTCTTCAGTGACGTCAGGACTCCTCTCTAGTAACGAGGGACACCTCAGGAATCTCTTCGAGGATTGGCAGGGCAAAAGGGACGCTTCTCGAGGTGAGGCAGGGCACCCAAGGACCCTTTCTAGTAGCCACAGAGATTTTGGAATTCCTATCAGTATTCAAGAGGAGTCAGGCATCGTCACCTTTTGAAGCAATGAACTCCGCGTGCCTCTCGAGGTGTCAGCGGGATGTGAGGATTCCGTCAAAATGAGGCAGGTACCTAGGGCTTTCTCTAAGGTCTCCACAGGGGATTCAGACATCCCTTCATGTTGTCAGATCAAAGACGAGCCTGTATTCAAGCCACTGCAAGGAAAACCGGCCTCCTTTCAAGATAGGGCGTCTCGCTGTATATTCCCCTTGAGGCAGCAAACTCGGGGTCCCTCCAACATACCTATTGCTGAGAGAAACCTCCTCCTGAGGTGCTTCTGGAAAGTTGGCATACGTCTTAAGCCTAAGCCAGGGAATCAGCTCTCATCTCGAGACGATTTGGGGTACACAGAGCATTCCTCGAGTTGCTGTGCTGAAGTTGGTGGTCCTCTAGACTTGGGACAGTGTTCTCGGGGAATCTCTGGAGTTGCCTGAATGAAGTCGAGCCACCGGTCGTGTTGAATGGGGAACAGGGAATGGCTCTGCAGTCAATGCAGGGGAATCGGGCCTCATCTCGAGTTGATTTGGGGCAAATGGAGCTGCTTTGCATTGCTGGGTGACCTCAGTGTCCGTCTAGACTGGTGACAGTGTTCTTGGGGACTGTCTCGAGATCCATTAAGCAAGTCGAAGCTCCTGACTTGTTTGAATGGGATCACGGAATAGCTCTGCATGCACTGCAGGGGAATGGGGCCTCATCTCTCCTCTAGGGGGAAGTCTCACGGTTTTTCTCGAGTTGCGGCGGGGACCTGGGGTATGTTCTCGACTTAAAGCGGGGATGGCCCTTCAAAACACGAGTTCCTCCAGTGACGTCAGGACTCCTGCCTAGTAACGAGGGACACCTCAGGAATCTCTTCGAGGCTTGGCAGGGCAAAAGGGACGCTTCTCGAGGTGAGCCAGGGCACCCAAGGACCCTTTCCAGTAGCCACAGGGATTTTGGGATTCCTATCAGTATTCAAGAGGAGTCAGGCATCGTCACCTTTTGAAGCAATGAAATCCGCGAGACTCTCGAGGTGTCAGCGGGATGTGAGGCATTCCGTCAAAATGAGGCAGGGACCTAGGGCTTTCTCTAAGGTCTCCACAGGGGATTCAGACATCCCTTCATGTTGTCAGATCAAAGACGAGCCTGTATTCAAGCCACTGCAAGGAAATCTGGCCTCCTTTCAAGTTAGGGCTTCTCGCTGTATATTCCCCTTGAGGCAGCAAACTCGGGGTCCCTCGCACATACCTATTGCTGAGAGAAGCCTCCTCCTGAGGTGCTTCTGGAAAGTTGGCCTACGTCTTGAGCCTAAGCCAGGGCATCAGCTCTCATCTCGAGATGATTTGGGGTACACGGAGCATTCCTCGAGTTGCTGTGCTGAAGTTGGTGTTCCTCTAGACTTGGGACAGTGTTCTCGGGGCATCTCTGGAGTTGCCTGAAGGAAGTCGAGCCACCGGTCGTGTTGAATGGGGAACGGGGAATGGCTCTGGAGTCAATGCAGGGGAATCGGGCCTCATCTCGAGTTGATTTGGGGCACATGGAGCAGCTTTGCGTTGCTGGGGTGACCTCAGGGTCCGTCTAGACTGGTGACAGTGTCCTTGGGGACTGTCTCGAGATCCATTAAGCAAGTCGAAGCTCCTGACTTGTTTGAATGGGATCACGGAATAGCTCTGCATGCACTGCAGGGGAATGGGGCCTCATCTCGCCTCTAGGGGGAAGTCTCATGGTTTTTCTCGGGTTGCGGCGGGGACCTGGGGTATGTTCTCGACTTACCGCGGGGATGGCCCTTCAAAACACGAGTTTCTTCACTGACGTCAGGACTCCTGCCTAGTAACGAGGGACACCTCAGGAATCTCTTCGAGGCTTGGCAGGGCAAAAGGGACGCTTCTCGAGGTGAGGCAGGGCACCCAAGGACCCTTCCCAGTAGCCACAGGGATTTTGGGATTCCTATAAGTATTCAAGAGGAGTCAGGCATCGTCACCTTTTGAAGCAATGAACTCCGCGTGCCTCTCCAGGTGTCAGCGGGATGTGAGGCATTCATTCAAAATGAGGAAGGGACCTAGGGCTTACTCTAAGGTCTACACAGGGGATTCAGACATCCCTTCATGTTGTCAGATCAAAGTCGAGCCTGTATTCAAGCCACTGCAAGGAAATCCGGCCTCCTTTCAAGTTAGGGCTTCTCGCTGTATATTCCCCTTGAGGCAGAAAACTCGGGGTCCCTCCCACATACCTATTGCTGAGAGAAGCCTCCTCCTGAGGTGCTTCTGGAAAGTTGGCATACGTCTTGAGCCTAAGCCAGGGAATCAGCTCTCATCTCGAGATGATTTGGGGTACACGGAGCATTCCTCGAGTTGCTGGGCTGAAGTTGGTGTTCCTCTACACTTGGGACAGTGTTCTCGGGGCATCTCTGGAGTTGCCTGAAGGAAGTCGAGCCACCGGTCGTGTTGAATGGGGAACGGGGAATGGCTCTGGAGTCAATGCAGGGGAATCGGGGCTCATCTCGAGTTGATTTGGGGCACATGGAGCAGCTTTGCATTGCTGGGGTGACCTCAGGGTCCGTCTAGACTGGTGACAGTGTTCTTGGGGACTGTCTCGAGATCCATTAAGCAAGTCGAAGCTCCTGACTTGTTTGAATGGGATCACGGAATAGCTCTGCATGCACTGCAGGGGAATGGGGCCTCATCTCGCCTCTAGGGGGAAGTCTCACGGTTTTTGTCGACTTGCGGCGGGGATCTGGGGTATGTTCTCGACTTACGGCGGGGATGGCCCTTCAAAACACGAGTTTCTTCAGTGACGTCAGGACTCCTGCCTAGTAACGAGGGACACCTCAGGAATCTCTTCGAGGCTTGGCAGGGCAAAAGGGACGCTTCTCGAGGTGAGGCAGGGCACCCAAGGACCCTTTCCAGTAGCAACAGGGATTTTGGGATTCCTATAAGTATTCAAGATGAGTCAGGCATCGTCACCTTTTGAAGCAATGAACTCTGCGTGCCTCTCGAGGTGTCAGGGGGATGTGAGGTATTCCGTCAAAATGAGGCAGGGACCTAGGGCTTCCTCTAAGGTCTCCACAGGGGATTCAGACATCCCTTCATGTTGTCTGATCAAAGACGAGCCTGTATTCAAGCCACTGCAAGGAAATCTGGCCTCCGTTCACATTAGGGCTTCTCCCTGTGTATTCCCCTTGAGGCAGCAAACTCGGGGTCCCTCCAACATACCTATTGCTGAGAGAAGCCTCCTCCTGAGGTGCTTCTGGAAAGTTGGCATACGTCTTGAGCCTAACCCAGGGAATCAGCTCTCATCTCGAGACGATTTGTGGTGCACAGAGCATTCCTCGAGTTGCTGTGCTGAAGTTGGTGGTCCTCTAGACTTGGGACAGTGTTCTCGGGGCATCTCTGGAGTTGCCTGAAGGAAGTCGAGCCACCGGTATTGTTGAATATGGAACAGGGAATGTCTCTGGAGTCAATGCAGGAATCCGGCCTCATCTCTAGTTGATTTGGGGCACATGGAGCTGCTTTGCATTGCTGGGTGACCTCAGGGTCCGTCTAGACTGGTGACAGTGTTCTTGGGGACTGTCTCGAGATCCATTAAGCAAGTCGAAGCTCCTGACTTGTTTGAATGGGATCACGGAATAGCTCTGCATGCACTGCAGGGGAATGGGGCCTCATCTCGCCTCTAGGGGGAAGTCTCATGGTTTTTCTCGAGTTGCGGCGGGGACCTGGGGTATGTTCACGACTTACGGCGGGGATTACCCTTCAAAACACGAGTTTCTCCAGTGACGTCAGGACTCCTGCCTAGTAACGAGGGACACCTCAGGAATCTCTTCGAGGCTTGGCAGGGCAAAAGGGACGCTTCTCGAGGTGAGGCAGGGCACCCAAAGACCCTTTCCAGTAGCCTCAGGGATTTTGGGATTCCTATCAGTATTCAAGAGGAGTCAGGCATCGTCACCTTTTGAAGCAATGAACACCGCGAGCCTCTCGAGGTGTCAGCGGGATGTGAGGCATTCTGTCAAAATGAGGCAGGGTCCTAGGGCTTTCTCTAAGGTCTCCACAGGGGATTCAGACATCCCTTCATGTTGTGAGATGAAAGACAAGCCTGTATTCAAGCTACTGCAAGGAAATCCGGCCTCCTTTCAAGTTAGGGCTTCTCGCTGTATATTCCCCTTGAGGCAGCAAACTCAGAGTCCCTCCCACATACCTATTGCTGAGAAGCCTCCTCCTGAGGTGCTTCTGGAAAGTTGGCATACGTCTTGAGCCTAAGCCAGGGAATCAGCTCTCATCTCGAGACGATTTGGGGTACACAGAGCATTCCTCGAGTTGCTGTGCTGAAGTTGGTGTTCCTCTAGGCTTGGGACAGTGTTCTCGGGGCATCTCTGGAGTTGCCTGAAGGAAGGCGAGCCACCGGTCGTGTTGAACGGGGAACGGGGAATGGCTCTGGAGTCAATGCAGGGGAATCGGGCCTCATCTCGAGTTGATTTGGGGCACATGGAGCTGCTTTGCGTTGCTGGGGTGACCTCAGGGTCCGTCTAGACTGGTGACAGTGTTCTTGGGGACTGTCTCGAGATCCATTAAGCATGTCGAAGCTCCTGACTTGTTTGAATGGGATCACGGAATAGCTCTGCATGCACTGCAGGGGAATGGGGCCTCTTCTCGCCTATAGGGGGAAGTCTCATGGTTTTTCTCGAGTTGCGGCGGGGACCTGGGGTATGTTCTCCACTTACGGCGGAGATGGCCCTTCACAACACGACTTTCTTCAGTGACGTCAGGACTCCTGTCTAGTAACGAGGGACACCTCAGCAATCTCTTCGAGGCTTGGCAGGCAAAAGGGACGCTTCTCGAGGTGAGCCAGGGCACCCAAGGACCCTTTCCAGTAGCCACAGGGATTTTGGGATTCCTATAAGTATTCAAGAGGAGTCAGGCATCGTCACCTTTTGAAGCAATGAACTCTGCGTGCCTCTCGAGGTGTCAGGGGGATGTGAGGTATTCCGTCAAAATGAGGCAGGGACCTAGGGCTTTCTCTAAGGTCTCTACAGGGGATTCAGATATCCCTTCATGTTGTGAGATCAAAGACGAGCCTGTATTCAAGCCACTGCAAGGAAATCTGGTCTCCGTTCACATTAGGACTTCTCCCTGTGTATTCCCCTTGAGGCAGCAAACTCGGGGTCCCTCCCACATACCTATTGCTGAGAGAAGCCTCCTCCTGAGGTGCTTCTGGAAAGTTGGCATACGTCTTGAGCCTAAGCCAGGGAATCAGCTCTCATCTCGAGATGATTTGGGGTACACGGAGCATTCCCCGAGTTGCTGTGCTGAAGTTGGTGTTCCTCTAGACTTGGGACAGTGTTCTCGGGGCATCTCTGGAGTTGCCTGAAGGAAGTCGAGCCACCGGTCGTGTTGAATGGGGAACGTGAAATGGCTCTGGTGTCAATGCAAGGGAATCGCGCCTCATCTCGAGTTGATTTGGGGCACATGGAGCTGCTTTGCATTGCTGGGTGACCTCAGGGTCCGTCTAGACTGGTGACAGTGTTCTTGGGGACTGTCTCGAGATCCATTAAGCAAGTCGAAGCTCCTGACTTGTTTGAATGGGATCACGGAATAGCTCTGCATGCACTGCAGGGGAATGGGGCCTCTTCTCGCCTATAGAGGGAAGTCTCATGGTTTTTCTCGAGTTGCGGCGGGGACCTGGGGTATGTTCTCCACTTACGGCGAAGATGGCCCTTCACAACACGAGTTTCTTCAGTGACGTCAGGACTCCTGTCTAGTAACGAGGGACACCTCAGCAATCTCTTCGAGGCTTGGCAGGGCAAAAGGGACGCTTCTCGAGGTGAGCCAGGGCACCCAAGGACCCTTTCCAGTAGCCACAGGGATTTTGGGATTCCTATAAGTATTCAAGAGGAGTCAGGCATCGTCACCTTTTGAAGCAATGAACTCTGCGTGCCTCTCGAGGTGTCAGGGGGATGTGAGGTATTCCGTCAAAATGAGGCAGGGACCTAGGGCTTCCTCTAAGGTCTCCACAGGGGATTCAGACATCCCTTCATGTTGTCAGATCAAAGACGAGCCTGTATTCAAGCCACTGCAAGGAAATCTGGCCTCCGTTCACATTAGGGCTTCTCCCTGTGTATTCCCCTTGAGGCAGCAAAATCGGGGTCCTTCCCACATATCTATTGCTGAGAGAAGCCTCCTCCTGAGGTGCTTCTGGAAAGTTGGCATACGTCTTGAGCCTAAGCCAGGGAATCAGCTCTCATGTCGAGATGATTTGTGGTATACGGAGCATTCCTCGAGTTGCTGTGCTGAAGTTGTTGTTCCTCTAGACTTGGGACAGTGTTCTCGGGGCATCTCTGGAGTTTCCTGAAGGAAGTCGAGCCACCGGTCGTGTTGAATGGGGAACGGGGAATGGCTCTGGAGTCAATGCAGTGGAATCGGGCCTCATCTCGAGTTGATTTGTGGCACATGGAGCAGCTTTGCGTTGCTGCGGTGACCTCAGGGTCCGTCTAGACTGGTGACAATGTTCTTGGGGACTGTCTCGAGATCCATTAAGCAAGTCGAAGCTCCTGACTTGTTTGAATGGCATCACGCAATAGCTCTGCATGCACTGCAGGGGAATGGGGCCTCATCTCGCCTCTAGGGGGAAGTCTCATGGTTTTTCTCGAGTTGCGGCGGGGACCTGGGGTATGTTCTCGACTTACGGCGGGGATGGCCCTTCAAAACACGAGTTTCTTCAGTGACGTCAGGACTCCTGCCTAGTAACGAGGGACACCTTAGGAATCTCTTCGAGGCTTGGCAGGGCAAAAGGGACGCTTCTCGTGGTGAGGCAGGGCACCCAAGGACCCTTTCCAGTAGCCACAGGAATTTTGGGATTCCTATCAGTATTCAAGAGGAGTCAGGCATCGTCACCTTTTGAAGCAATGAACTCCGCGTGCCTCTCGAGGTGTCAGCGGGATGTGAGGCATTCCGTCAAAATGAGGCAGGTACCTAGGGCTTTCTCTACGGTCTCCACAGGGGATTCAGACATCCCTTCATGTTGTCAGATCAAAGACGAGCCTGTATTCAAGCCACTGCAAGGAAATCCGGCCTCCTTTCAAGTTAGGGCTTCTCGCTGTATATTCCCCTTGAGGCAGCAAACTCGGGGTCCCTCCCACATACCTATTGCTGAGAGAAGCCTCCTCCTGAGGTGCTTCTGGAAAGTTGGCATACGTCTTGAGCCTAAGCGAGGGAATCACCTCTCATCTCGAGATGATTTGGGGTACACGGAGCATTCCTTGAGTTGCTGGGCTGAAGTTGGTGTTCCTCTAGACTTGGGACAGTGTTCTCGGGGCATCTCTGGAGTTGCCTGAAGGAAGGCGAGCCACCGGTCGTGTTGAATGGGGAACGGGGAATGGCTCTGGAGTCAATGCAGGGGAATCGGGCCTCATCTCGAGTTGATTTGGGGAACATGGAGCAGCTTTGCGTTGCTGGGGTGACCTCAGGCTCCGTCTAGACTGCAGACAGTGTTCTTGGGGACTGTCTCGAGATCCATTAAGCAAGTCGAAGCTCCTGAATTGTTTGAATGGGATCACGGAATAGCTCTGCATGCACTGCAGGGGAATGGGGCCTCATCTCGCCTCTAGGGGGAAGTCTCATGGTTTTTCTCGAGTTGCGGCGGGGACCTGGGGTATGTTCTCGACTTACGGCGGAGATGGCCTTTCAAAACACGAGTTTCTTCAGTGACGTCAGGACTCCTGTCTAGTAACGAGGGACACCTCAGCAATCTCATCGAGGCTTGGCAGGGCAAAAGGGACGCTTCTCGAGGTGAGCCAGGGCACCCAAGGACCCTTCCCAGTAGCCACAGGGATTTTGGGATTCCTATAAGTATTCAAGAGGAGTCAGGCATCGTCACCTTTTGAAGCAATGAACTCCGCGTGCCTCTCCAGGTGTCAGCGGGATGTGAGGCATTCATTCAAAATGAGGAAGGGACCTAGGGCTTACTCTAAGGTCTACACAGGGGATTCAGACATCCCTTATGTTGTCAGATCAAAGTCGAGCCTGTATTCAAGCCACTGCAAGGAAATCCGGCCTCCTTTCAAGTTAGGGCTTCTCGCTGTATATTCCCCTTGAGGCAGCAAACTCGGGGTCCCTCCCACATACCTATTGCTGAGAGAAGCCTCCTCCTGAGGTGCTTCTGGAAAGTTGGCATACGTCTTGAGCCTAAGCCAGGGAATCAGCTCTCATCTCGAGATGATTTGTGGCACACGGAGCATTCCTCGAGTTGCTGGGCTGAAGTTGGTGTTCCTCTAGACTTGGGACAGTGTTCTCGGGGCATCTCTGGAGTTGCCTGAAGGAAGTCGAGCCACCGGTCGTGTTGAATGGGGAACGGGGAATGGCTCTGGAGTCAATGCAGGGGAATCGGGGCTCATCTCGAGTTGATTTGGGGCACATGGAGCAGCTTTGCATTGCTGGGGTGACCTCAGGGTCCGTCTAGACTGGTGACAGTGTTCTTGGGGACTGTCTCGAGATCCATTAAGCAAGTCGAAGCTCCTGACTTGTTTGAATGGGATCACGGAATAGCTCTGCATGCACTGCAGGGGAATGGGGCCTCATCTCGCCTCTAGGGGGAAGTCTCACGGTTTTTGTCGACTTGCGGCGGGGACCTGGGGTATGTTCTCGACTTACGGCGGGGATGGCCCTTCAAAACACGAGTTTCTTCAGTGACGTCAGGACTCCTGCCTAGTAACGAGGGACACCTCAGGAATCTCTTCGAGGCTTGGCAGGGCAAAAGGGACGCTTCTCGAGGTGAGCCAGGGCACCCAAGGACCCTTTCCAGTAGCAACAGGGATTTTGGGATTCCTATAAGTATTCAAGATGAGTCAGGCATCGTCACCTTTTGAAGCAATGAACTCTGCGTGCCTCTCGAGGTGTCAGGGGGATGTGAGGTATTCCGTCAAAATGAGGCAGGGACCTAGGGCTTCCTCTAAGGTCTCCACAGGGGATTCAGACATCCCTTCATGTTGTCTGATCAAAGACGAGCCTGTATTCAAGCCACTGCAAGGAAATCTGGCCTCCGTTCACATTAGGGCTTCTCCCTGTGTATTCCCCTTGAGGCAGCAAACTCGGGGTCCCTCCAACATACCTATTGCTGAGAGAAGCCTCCTCCTGAGGTGCTTCTGGAAAGTTGGCATACGTCTTGAGCCTAACCCAGGGAATCAGCTCTCATCTCGAGACGATTTGTGGTGCACAGAGCATTCCTCGAGTTGCTGTGCTGAAGTTGGTGGTCCTCTAGACTTGGGACAGTGTTCTCGGGGCATCTCTGGAGTTGCCTGAAGGAAGTCGAGCCACCGGTATTGTTGAATATGGAACAGGGAATGTCTCTGGAGTCAATGCAGGAATCCGGCCTCATCTCTAGTTGATTTGGGGCACATGGAGCTGCTTTGCATTGCTGGGTGACCTCAGGGTCCGTCTAGACTGGTGACAGTGTTCTTGGGGACTGTCTCGAGATCCATTAAGCAAGTCGAAGCTCCTGACTTGTTTGAATGGGATCACGGAATAGCTCTGCATGCACTGCAGGGGAATGGGGCCTCATCTCGCCTCTAGGGGGAAGTCTCATGGTTTTTCTCGAGTTGCGGCGGGGACCTGGGGTATGTTCACGACTTACGGCGGGGATTACCCTTCAAAACACGAGTTTCTCCAGTGACGTCAGGACTCCTGCCTAGTAACGAGGGACACCTCAGGAATCTCTTCGAGGCTTGGCAGGGCAAAAGGGACGCTTCTCGAGGTGAGGCAGGGCACCCAAAGACCCTTTCCAGTAGCCTCAGGGATTTTGGGATTCCTATCAGTATTCAAGAGGAGTCAGGCATCGTCACCTTTTGAAGCAATGAACACCGCGAGCCTCTCGAGGTGTCAGCGGGATGTGAGGCATTCTGTCAAAATGAGGCAGGGTCCTAGGGCTTTCTCTAAGGTCTCCACAGGGGATTCAGACATCCCTTCATGTTGTGAGATGAAAGACAAGCCTGTATTCAAGCTACTGCAAGGAAATCCGGCCTCCTTTCAAGTTAGGGCTTCTCGCTGTATATTCCCCTTGAGGCAGCAAACTCAGAGTCCCTCCCACATACCTATTGCTGAGAAGCCTCCTCCTGAGGTGCTTCTGGAAAGTTGGCATACGTCTTGAGCCTAAGCCAGGGAATCAGCTCTCATCTCGAGACGATTTGGGGTACACAGAGCATTCCTCGAGTTGCTGTGCTGAAGTTGGTGTTCCTCTAGGCTTGGGACAGTGTTCTCGGGGCATCTCTGGAGTTGCCTGAAGGAAGGCGAGCCACCGGTCGTGTTGAACGGGGAACGGGGAATGGCTCTGGAGTCAATGCAGGGGAATCGGGCCTCATCTCGAGTTGATTTGGTTCACATGGAGCTGCTTTGCGTTGCTGGGGTGACCTCAGGGTCCGTCTAGACTGGTGACAGTGTTCTTGGGGACTGTCTCGAGATCCATTAAGCATGTCGAAGCTCCTGACTTGTTTGAATGGGATCACGGAATAGCTCTGCATGCACTGCAGGGGAATGGGGCCTCTTCTCGCCTATAGGGGGAAGTCTCATGGTTTTTCTCGAGTTGCGGCGGGGACCTGGGGTATGTTCTCCACTTACGGCGGAGATGGCCCTTCACAACACGACTTTCTTCAGTGACGTCAGGACTCCTGTCTAGTAACGAGGGACACCTCAGCAATCTCTTCGAGGCTTGGCAGGCAAAAGGGACGCTTCTCGAGGTGAGCCAGGGCACCCAAGGACCCTTTCCAGTAGCCACAGGGATTTTGGGATTCCTATAAGTATTCAAGAGGAGTCAGGCATCGTCACCTTTTGAAGCAATGAACTCTGCGTGCCTCTCGAGGTGTCAGGGGGATGTGAGGTATTCCGTCAAAATGAGGCAGGGACCTAGGGCTTTCTCTAACGTCTCTACAGGGGATTCAGATATCCCTTCATGTTGTGAGATCAAAGACGAGCCTGTATTCAAGCCACTGCAAGGAAATCTGGTCTCCGTTCACATTAGGACTTCTCCCTGTGTATTCCCCTTGAGGCAGCAAACTCGGGGTCCCTCCCACATACCTATTGCTGAGAGAAGCCTCCTCCTGAGGTGCTTCTGGAAAGTTGGCATACGTCTTGAGCCTAAGCCAGGGAATCAGCTCTCATCTCGAGATGATTTGGGGTACACGGAGCATTCCCCGAGTTGCTGTGCTGAAGTTGGTGTTCCTCTAGACTTGGGACAGTGTTCTCGGGGCATCTCTGGAGTTGCCTGAAGGAAGTCGAGCCACCGGTCGTGTTGAATGGGGAACGTGAAATGGCTCTGGTGTCAATGCAAGGGAATCGCGCCTCATCTCGAGTTGATTTGGGGCACATGGAGCTGCTTTGCATTGCTGGGTGACCTCAGGGTCCGTCTAGACTGGTGACAGTGTTCTTGGGGACTGTCTCGAGATCCATTAAGCAAGTCGAAGCTCCTGACTTGTTTGAATGGGATCACGGAATAGCTCTGCATGCACTGCAGGGGAATGGGGCCTCTTCTCGCCTATAGAGGGAAGTCTCATGGTTTTTCTCGAGTTGCGGCGGGGACCTGGGGTATGTTCTCCACTTACGGCGAAGATGGCCCTTCACAACACGAGTTTCTTCAGTGACGTCAGGACTCCTGTCTAGTAACGAGGGACACCTCAGCAATCTCTTCGAGGCTTGGCAGGGCAAAAGGGACGCTTCTCGAGGTGAGCCAGGGCACCCAAGGACCCTTTCCAGTAGCCACAGGGATTTTGGGATTCCTATAAGTATTCAAGAGGAGTCAGGCATCGTCACCTTTTGAAGCAATGAACTCTGCGTGCCTCTCGAGGTGTCAGGGGGATGTGAGGTATTCCGTCAAAATGAGGCAGGGACCTAGGGCTTCCTCTAAGGTCTCCACAGGGGATTCAGACATCCCTTCATGTTGTCAGATCAAAGACGAGCCTGTATTCAAGCCACTGCAAGGAAATCTGGCCTCCGTTCACATTAGGGCTTCTCCCTGTGTATTCCCCTTGAGGCAGCAAAATCGGGGTCCTTCCCACATATCTATTGCTGAGAGAAGCCTCCTCCTGAGGTGCTTCTGGAAAGTTGGCATACGTCTTGAGCCTAAGCCAGGGAATCAGCTCTCATGTCGAGATGATTTGTGGTATACGGAGCATTCCTCGAGTTGCTGTGCTGAAGTTGTTGTTCCTCTAGACTTGGGACAGTGTTCTCGGGGCATCTCTGGAGTTTCCTGAAGGAAGTCGAGCCACCGGTCGTGTTGAATGGGGAACGGGGAATGGCTCTGGAGTCAATGCAGTGGAATCGGGCCTCATCTCGAGTTGATTTGTGGCACATGGAGCAGCTTTGCGTTGCTGCGGTGACCTCAGGGTCCGTCTAGACTGGTGACAATGTTCTTGGGGACTGTCTCGAGATCCATTAAGCAAGTCGAAGCTCCTGACTTGTTTGAATGGCATCACGCAATAGCTCTGCATGCACTGCAGGGGAATGGGGCCTCATCTCGCCTCTAGGGGGAAGTCTCATGGTTTTTCTCGAGTTGCGGCGGGGACCTGGGGTATGTTCTCGACTTACGGCGGGGATGGCCCTTCAAAACACGATTTTCTTCAGTGACGTCAGGACTCCTCTCTAGTAACGAGGGACACCTCAGGAATCTCTTCGAGGATTGGCAGGGCAAAAGGGACGCTTCTCGAGGTGAGGCAGGGCACCCAAGGACCCTTTCTAGTAGCCACAGAGATTTTGGAATTCCTATCAGTATTCAAGAGGAGTCAGGCATCGTCACCTTTTGAAGCAATGAACTCCGCGTGCCTCTCGAGGTGTCAGCGGGATGTGAGGATTCCGTCAAAATGAGGCAGGTACCTAGGGCTTTCTCTAAGGTCTCCACAGGGGATTCAGACATCCCTTCATGTTGTCAGATCAAAGACGAGCCTGTATTCAAGCCACTGCAAGGAAAACCGGCCTCCTTTCAAGATAGGGCGTCTCGCTGTATATTCCCCTTGAGGCAGCAAACTCGGGGTCCCTCCAACATACCTATTGCTGAGAGAAACCTCCTCCTGAGGTGCTTCTGGAAAGTTGGCATACGTCTTAAGCCTAAGCCAGGGAATCAGCTCTCATCTCGAGACGATTTGGGGTACACAGAGCATTCCTCGAGTTGCTGTGCTGAAGTTGGTGGTCCTCTAGACTTGGGACAGTGTTCTCGGGGAATCTCTGGAGTTGCCTGAATGAAGTCGAGCCACCGGTCGTGTTGAATGGGGAACAGGGAATGGCTCTGCAGTCAATGCAGGGGAATCGGGCCTCATCTCGAGTTGATTTGGGGCAAATGGAGCTGCTTTGCATTGCTGGGTGACCTCAGTGTCCGTCTAGACTGGTGACAGTGTTCTTGGGGACTGTCTCGAGATCCATTAAGCAAGTCGAAGCTCCTGACTTGTTTGAATGGGATCACGGAATAGCTCTGCATGCACTGCAGGGGAATGGGGCCTCATCTCTCCTCTAGGGGGAAGTCTCACGGTTTTTCTCGAGTTGCGGCGGGGACCTGGGGTATGTTCTCGACTTAAAGCGGGGATGGCCCTTCAAAACACGAGTTCCTCCAGTGACGTCAGGACTCCTGCCTAGTAACGAGGGACACCTCAGGAATCTCTTCGAGGCTTGGCAGGGCAAAAGGGACGCTTCTCGAGGTGAGCCAGGGCACCCAAGGACCCTTTCCAGTAGCCACAGGGATTTTGGGATTCCTATCAGTATTCAAGAGGAGTCAGGCATCGTCACCTTTTGAAGCAATGAAATCCGCGAGACTCTCGAGGTGTCAGCGGGATGTGAGGCATTCCGTCAAAATGAGGCAGGGACCTAGGGCTTTCTCTAAGGTCTCCACAGGGGATTCAGACATCCCTTCATGTTGTCAGATCAAAGACGAGCCTGTATTCAAGCCACTGCAAGGAAATCTGGCCTCCTTTCAAGTTAGGGCTTCTCGCTGTATATTCCCCTTGAGGCAGCAAACTCGGGGTCCCTCGCACATACCTATTGCTGAGAGAAGCCTCCTCCTGAGGTGCTTCTGGAAAGTTGGCCTACGTCTTGAGCCTAAGCCAGGGCATCAGCTCTCATCTCGAGATGATTTGGGGTACACGGAGCATTCCTCGAGTTGCTGTGCTGAAGTTGGTGTTCCTCTAGACTTGGGACAGTGTTCTCGGGGCATCTCTGGAGTTGCCTGAAGGAAGTCGAGCCACCGGTCGTGTTGAATGGGGAACGGGGAATGGCTCTGGAGTCAATGCAGGGGAATCGGGCCTCATCTCGAGTTGATTTGGGGCACATGGAGCAGCTTTGCGTTGCTGGGGTGACCTCAGGGTCCGTCTAGACTGGTGACAGTGTCCTTGGGGACTGTCTCGAGATCCATTAAGCAAGTCGAAGCTCCTGACTTGTTTGAATGGGATCACGGAATAGCTCTGCATGCACTGCAGGGGAATGGGGCCTCATCTCGCCTCTAGGGGGAAGTCTCATGGTTTTTCTCGGGTTGCGGCGGGGACCTGGGGTATGTTCTCGACTTACCGCGGGGATGGCCCTTCAAAACACGAGTTTCTTCACTGACGTCAGGACTCCTGCCTAGTAACGAGGGACACCTCAGGAATCTCTTCGAGGCTTGGCAGGGCAAAAGGGACGCTTCTCGAGGTGAGGCAGGGCACCCAAGGACCCTTCCCAGTAGCCACAGGGATTTTGGGATTCCTATAAGTATTCAAGAGGAGTCAGGCATCGTCACCTTTTGAAGCAATGAACTCCGCGTGCCTCTAAAGGTGTCAGCGGGATGTGAGGCATTCATTCAAAATGAGGAAGGGACCTAGGGCTTACTCTAAGGTCTACACAGGGGATTCAGACATCCCTTCATGTTGTCAGATCAAAGTCGAGCCTGTATTCAAGCCACTGCAAGGAAATCCGGCCTCCTTTCAAGTTAGGGCTTCTCGCTGTATATTCCCCTTGAGGCAGCAAACTCGGGGTCCCTCCCACATACCTATTGCTGAGAGAAGCCTCCTCCTGAGGTGCTTCTGGAAAGTTGGCATACGTCTTGAGCCTAAGCCAGGGAATCAGCTCTCATCTCGAGATGATTTGGGGTACACGGAGCATTCCTCGAGTTGCTGGGCTGAAGTTGGTGTTCCTCTAGACTTGGGACAGTGTTCTCGGGGCATCTCTGGAGTTGCCTGAAGGAAGTCGAGCCACCGGTCGTGTTGAATGGGGAACGGGGAATGGCTCTGGAGTCAATGCAGGGGAATCGGGGCTCATCTCGAGTTGATTTGGGGCACATGGAGCAGCTTTGCATTGCTGGGGTGACCTCAGGGTCCGTCTAGACTGGTGACAGTGTTCTTGGGGACTGTCTCGAGATCCATTAAGCAAGTCGAAGCTCCTGACTTGTTTGAATGGGATCACGGAATAGCTCTGCATGCACTGCAGGGGAATGGGGCCTCATCTCGCCTCTAGGGGGAAGTCTCACGGTTTTTGTCGACTTGCGGCGGGGACCTGGGGTATGTTCTCGACTTACGGCGGGGATGGCCCTTCAAAACACGAGTTTCTTCAGTGACGTCAGGACTCCTGCCTAGTAACGAGGGACACCTCAGGAATCTCTTCGAGGCTTGGCAGGGCAAAAGGGACGCTTCTCGAGGTGAGGCAGGGCACCCAAGGACCCTTTCCAGTAGCAACAGGGATTTTGGGATTCCTATAAGTATTCAAGATGAGTCAGGCATCGTCACCTTTTGAAGCAATGAACTCTGCGTGCCTCTCGAGGTGTCAGGGGGATGTGAGGTATTCCGTCAAAATGAGGCAGGGACCTAGGGCTTCCTCTAAGGTCTCCACAGGGGATTCAGACATCCCTTCATGTTGTCTGATCAAAGACGAGCCTGTATTCAAGCCACTGCAAGGAAATCTGGCCTCCGTTCACATTAGGGCTTCTCCCTGTGTATTCCCCTTGAGGCAGCAAACTCGGGGTCCCTCCAACATACCTATTGCTGAGAGAAGCCTCCTCCTGAGGTGCTTCTGGAAAGTTGGCATACGTCTTGAGCCTAACCCAGGGAATCAGCTCTCATCTCGAGACGATTTGTGGTGCACAGAGCATTCCTCGAGTTGCTGTGCTGAAGTTGGTGGTCCTCTAGACTTGGGACAGTGTTCTCGGGGCATCTCTGGAGTTGCCTGAAGGAAGTCGAGCCACCGGTATTGTTGAATATGGAACAGGGAATGTCTCTGGAGTCAATGCAGGAATCCGGCCTCATCTCTAGTTGATTTGGGGCACATGGAGCTGCTTTGCATTGCTGGGTGACCTCAGGGTCCGTCTAGACTGGTGACAGTGTTCTTGGGGACTGTCTCGAGATCCATTAAGCAAGTCGAAGCTCCTGACTTGTTTGAATGGGATCACGGAATAGCTCTGCATGCACTGCAGGGGAATGGGGCCTCATCTCGCCTCTAGGGGGAAGTCTCATGGTTTTTCTCGAGTTGCGGCGGGGACCTGGGGTATGTTCACGACTTACGGCGGGGATTACCCTTCAAAACACGAGTTTCTCCAGTGACGTCAGGACTCCTGCCTAGTAACGAGGGACACCTCAGGAATCTCTTCGAGGCTTGGCAGGGCAAAAGGGACGCTTCTCGAGGTGAGGCAGGGCACCCAAAGACCCTTTCCAGTAGCCTCAGGGATTTTGGGATTCCTATCAGTATTCAAGAGGAGTCAGGCATCGTCACCTTTTGAAGCAATGAACACCGCGAGCCTCTCGAGGTGTCAGCGGGATGTGAGGCATTCTGTCAAAATGAGGCAGGGTCCTAGGGCTTTCTCTAAGGTCTCCACAGGGGATTCAGACATCCCTTCATGTTGTGAGATGAAAGACAAGCCTGTATTCAAGCTACTGCAAGGAAATCCGGCCTCCTTTCAAGTTAGGGCTTCTCGCTGTATATTCCCCTTGAGGCAGCAAACTCAGAGTTCCTCCCACATACCTATTGCTGAGAAGCCTCCTCCTGAGGTGCTTCTGGAAAGTTGGCATACGTCTTGAGCCTAAGCCAGGGAATCAGCTCTCATCTCGAGACGATTTGGGGTACACAGAGCATTCCTCGAGTTGCTGTGCTGAAGTTGGTGTTCCTCTAGGCTTGGGACAGTGTTCTCGGGGCATCTCTGGAGTTGCCTGAAGGAAGGCGAGCCACCGGTCGTGTTGAACGGGGAACGGGGAATGGCTCTGGAGTCAATGCAGGGGAATCGGGCCTCATCTCGAGTTGATTTGGGGCACATGGAGCTGCTTTGCGTTGCTGGGGTGACCTCAGGGTCCGTCTAGACTGGTGACAGTGTTCTTGGGGACTGTCTCGAGATCCATTAAGCATGTCGAAGCTCCTGACTTGTTTGAATGGGATCACGGAATAGCTCTGCATGCACTGCAGGGGAATGGGGCCTCTTCTCGCCTATAGGGGGAAGTCTCATGGTTTTTCTCGAGTTGCGGCGGGGACCTGGGGTATGTTCTCCACTTACGGCGGAGATGGCCCTTCACAACACGACTTTCTTCAGTGACGTCAGGACTCCTGTCTAGTAACGAGGGACACCTCAGCAATCTCTTCGAGGCTTGGCAGGCAAAAGGGACGCTTCTCGAGGTGAGCCAGGGCACCCAAGGACCCTTTCCAGTAGCCACAGGGATTTTGGGATTCCTATAAGTATTCAAGAGGAGTCAGGCATCGTCACCTTTTGAAGCAATGAACTCTGCGTGCCTCTCGAGGTGTCAGGGGGATGTGAGGTATTCCGTCAAAATGAGGCAGGGACCTAGGGCTTTCTCTAAGGTCTCTACAGGGGATTCAGATATCCCTTCATGTTGTGAGATCAAAGACGAGCCTGTATTCAAGCCACTGCAAGGAAATCTGGTCTCCGTTCACATTAGGACTTCTCCCTGTGTATTCCCCTTGAGGCAGCAAACTCGGGGTCCCTCCCACATACCTATTGCTGAGAGAAGCCTCCTCCTGAGGTGCTTCTGGAAAGTTGGCATACGTCTTGAGCCTAAGCCAGGGAATCAGCTCTCATCTCGAGATGATTTGGGGTACACGGAGCATTCCCCGAGTTGCTGTGCTGAAGTTGGTGTTCCTCTAGACTTGGGACAGTGTTCTCGGGGCATCTCTGGAGTTTCCTGAAGGAAGTCGAGCCACCGGTCGTGTTGAATGGGGAACGGGGAATGGCTCTGGAGTCAATGCAGTGGAATCGGGCCTCATCTCGAGTTGATTTGTGGCACATGGAGCAGCTTTGCGTTGCTGCGGTGACCTCAGGGTCCGTCTAGACTGGTGACAATGTTCTTGGGGACTGTCTCGAGATCCATTAAGCAAGTCGAAGCTCCTGACTTGTTTGAATGGCATCACGCAATAGCTCTGCATGCACTGCAGGGGAATGGGGCCTCATCTCGCCTCTAGGGGGAAGTCTCATGGTTTTTCTCGAGTTGCGGCGGGGACCTGGGGTATGTTCTCGACTTACGGCGGGGATGGCCCTTCAAAACACGATTTTCTTCAGTGACGTCAGGACTCCTCTCTAGTAACGAGGGACACCTCAGGAATCTCTTCGAGGATTGGCAGGGCAAAAGGGACGCTTCTCGAGGTGAGGCAGGGCACCCAAGGACCCTTTCTAGTAGCCACAGAGATTTTGGAATTCCTATCAGTATTCAAGAGGAGTCAGGCATCGTCACCTTTTGAAGCAATGAACTCCGCGTGCCTCTCGAGGTGTCAGCGGGATGTGAGGATTCCGTCAAAATGAGGCAGGTACCTAGGGCTTTCTCTAAGGTCTCCACAGGGGATTCAGACATCCCTTCATGTTGTCAGATCAAAGACGAGCCTGTATTCAAGCCACTGCAAGGAAAACCGGCCTCCTTTCAAGATAGGGCGTCTCGCTGTATATTCCCCTTGAGGCAGCAAACTCGGGGTCCCTCCAACATACCTATTGCTGAGAGAAACCTCCTCCTGAGGTGCTTCTGGAAAGTTGGCATACGTCTTAAGCCTAAGCCAGGGAATCAGCTCTCATCTCGAGACGATTTGGGGTACACAGAGCATTCCTCGAGTTGCTGTGCTGAAGTTGGTGGTCCTCTAGACTTGGGACAGTGTTCTCGGGGAATCTCTGGAGTTGCCTGAATGAAGTCGAGCCACCGGTCGTGTTGAATGGGGAACAGGGAATGGCTCTGCAGTCAATGCAGGGGAATCGGGCCTCATCTCGAGTTGATTTGGGGCAAATGGAGCTGCTTTGCATTGCTGGGTGACCTCAGTGTCCGTCTAGACTGGTGACAGTGTTCTTGGGGACTGTCTCGAGATCCATTAAGCAAGTCGAAGCTCCTGACTTGTTTGAATGGGATCACGGAATAGCTCTGCATGCACTGCAGGGGAATGGGGCCTCATCTCTCCTCTAGGGGGAAGTCTCACGGTTTTTCTCGAGTTGCGGCGGGGACCTGGGGTATGTTCTCGACTTAAAGCGGGGATGGCCCTTCAAAACACGAGTTCCTCCAGTGACGTCAGGACTCCTGCCTAGTAACGAGGGACACCTCAGGAATCTCTTCGAGGCTTGGCAGGGCAAAAGGGACGCTTCTCGAGGTGAGCCAGGGCACCCAAGGACCCTTTCCAGTAGCCACAGGGATTTTGGGATTCCTATCAGTATTCAAGAGGAGTCAGGCATCGTCACCTTTTGAAGCAATGAAATCCGCGAGACTCTCGAGGTGTCAGCGGGATGTGAGGCATTCCGTCAAAATGAGGCAGGGACCTAGGGCTTTCTCTAAGGTCTCCACAGGGGATTCAGACATCCCTTCATGTTGTCAGATCAAAGACGAGCCTGTATTCAAGCCACTGCAAGGAAATCTGGCCTCCTTTCAAGTTAGGGCTTCTCGCTGTATATTCCCCTTGAGGCAGCAAACTCGGGGTCCCTCGCACATACCTATTGCTGAGAGAAGCCTCCTCCTGAGGTGCTTCTGGAAAGTTGGCCTACGTCTTGAGCCTAAGCCAGGGCATCAGCTCTCATCTCGAGATGATTTGGGGTACATGGAGCATTCCTCGAGTTGCTGTGCTGAAGTTGGTGTTCCTCTAGACTTGGGACAGTGTTCTCGGGGCATCTCTGGAGTTGCCTGAAGGAAGTCGAGCCACCGGTCGTGTTGAATGGGGAACGGGGAATGGCTCTGGAGTCAATGCAGGGGAATCGGGCCTCATCTCGAGTTGATTTGGGGCACATGGAGCAGCTTTGCGTTGCTGGGGTGACCTCAGGGTCCGTCTAGACTGGTGACAGTGTCCTTGGGGACTGTCTCGAGATCCATTAAGCAAGTCGAAGCTCCTGACTTGTTTGAATGGGATCACGGAATAGCTCTGCATGCACTGCAGGGGAATGGGGCCTCATCTCGCCTCTAGGGGGAAGTCTCATGGTTTTTCTCGGGTTGCGGCGGGGACCTGGGGTATGTTCTCGACTTACCGCGGGGATGGCCCTTCAAAACACGAGTTTCTTCACTGACGTCAGGACTCCTGCCTAGTAACGAGGGACACCTCAGGAATCTCTTCGAGGCTTGGCAGGGCAAAAGGGACGCTTCTCGAGGTGAGGCAGGGCACCCAAGGACCCTTTCCAGTAGCCACAGGGATTTTGGGATTCCTATCAGTATTCAAGAGGAGTCAGGCATCGTCACCTTTTGAAGCAATGAACTCCGCGTGCCTCTCGAGGTGTCAGCGGGATGTGAGGCATTCCGTCAAAATGAGGCAGGGACCTAGGGCTTTCTCTAAGGTCTCCACAGGGGATTCAGACATCCCTTCAAGTTGTGAGATGAAAGACGAGCCTAGTATTCAAGCCAATGCAAAGAAATCCGGCTTCCTTTCAAGTTAGGGCTTCTCCCTGTGTATTCCCCTTGAGGCAGCAAACTCGGGGTCCCTCCCACATACCTATTGCTGAGAGAAGCCTCCTCCTGAGGTGCTTCTGGAAAGTTGGCATACGTTTTGAGCCTAAGCCAGGGAATCAGCTCTCATCTCGAGACGATTTCGGGTACACGGAGCATTCCTCGAGTTGCTGTGCTGAAGTTGGTGTTCCTCTAGACTTGGGACAGTGTTATCGGGGCATCTCTGGAGTTGCCTGAAGGAAGTCGAGCCACCGGTCGTGTTGAATGGGGAAAGGGGAATTGCTCTGTAGTCAATGCAGGGGAATCGGGCCTCATCTCCAGTTGATGTGGGGCACATGGAGCTGCTTTGCGTTGCTGGGATGACCTCAGGGTCCGTCTAGACTGGTGACAGTGTTCTTGGGGACTGTCTCGAGATCCATTAAGCAAGTCGAAGCTCCTGACTTGTTTGAATGGGATCACGGAATAGCTCTGCATGCACTGCAGGGGAATGGGGCCTCATCTCGCCTCTAGGGGGAAGTCTCATGGTGTTTCTCGAGTTGCGGCGGGGACCTGAGGTATGTTCTCGACTTCCAGAGGGGAGGGCCCTTCAAAACACGAGTTTCTTCAGTGACGTCAGGACTCCTGTCTAGTAACGAGGGACAATTCAGGAATCACTTCGAGGATTGGCAGGGCAAAAGGGACGGTTCTCGAGGTGAGGCAGGGCACCCAAGGTCCCTTTCCAGTAGTCACAGGGATTTTGGGATTCCTATCAGTATTCAAGAGGAGTCAGGCATCCTCACCTTTTGAAGCAATGAACTCAGCATGCAAGCACTCTCGCCGGGTGTTCCCGCAAGGCTCGCACTCTGGTCTCAAAGCCGGGAGAAAAGCGCTTTGGGGTGGGCCTCTCTCAGGGCCCATGGCCCTGAGCCTGGGGACCAGCTAGGGGGTCCACACTCCCAGGCCAAGGCAGAACCACATGCACACGTCTGTTCCTGCCCCTTGCACCTTCAGACAGCTCGGCTGAGCCGCCGTCTCTCAGGCAGTTCCCTGGCAGCCCCGGCAGCACTGCCTGGGTGGGAAGGGGGAGAGCCGACCTAGGTGCACTGTGGGCCCCTTGCTCTCCCTGCTGCCCTGAGGCTGCTGGGCCAAAGAGGGCTTGGCTATCTACCCCCTTTCTCCCCTCTTGCCTCTGCCAGAAGGCTCTGCCCCCGGGGCTGTTGCAGTGTGGAGATAGCCCCTGCCAGCACCTCCACTCCCAGTAGGCCTCAGCAGAGGCCTAGGCCCAGGGAAAGGCCCAGGCAGGGCTGCGTTGAGGGAGGCGCAAGGGCATGTCTGGACACACTCCCCACAGCCTGTTCCTTCATGGGGCAGTTTCCCTGGAGGCCAGGAAGGCCTGGGCAAGGCTGGCCAAGAGCAGGGGCATTGCTGGGTTCTGCCTCTGGCCTGTGGGGCCTCTGAGCAGGACCTGCCCTCTCCCTCTGGAAGACCTCCCCGCCTGCGTGCAAATCCCCGTTTGCAAGCACTCTGGCCGGGTGTTCCTGCAAGGCTCGCACTCTGGTCTCAAAGCCGGGAGAAAAGCGCTTTGGGGTGGGCCTCTCTCAGGGCCCATGGCCCTGAGCCTGGGGACCAGCTAGGGGGTCCACACTCCCAGGCCAAGGCAGAACCACATGCACACGTCTGTTCCTGCCCCCTGCACCTTCAGAGAGCTCGGCTGAGCCGCGGTCTCTCAGGCAGTTCCCTGGCAGCCCCGGCAGCACTGCCTGTGTGGGAAGCGGGAGAGCCGACCTAGGTGCACTGTGGGCCCCTTGCTCTCCCTGCTGCCCTGAGGCTGCTGGGCCAAAGAGGGCTTGGCTATCTACCCCCTTTCTCCCCTCTTCCCTCTGCCAGAAGGCTCTGCCCCCGGGGCTGTTGCAGTGTGGAGACAGCCCCTGCCAGCACCTCCACTCCCAGTAGGCCTCAGCAGAGGCCTAGGCCCAGGGAAAGGCCCAGGCAGGGCTGCGTTGAGGGAGGCGCAAGGGCATGTCTGGACACACTCCCCACAGCCTGTTCCTTCATGGGGCAGTTACCCTGGAGGCCAGGAAGGCCTGGGCAAGGCTGGCCAAGAGCAGGGGCATTGCTGGGTTCTGCCTCTGGCCTGTGGGGCCTCTGAGCAGGACCTGCCCTCTCCCTCTGGAAGACCTCCCCGCCTGCGTGCAAATCCCCGTTTGCAAGCACTCTGGCCGGGTGTTCCCGCAAGGCTCGCACTCTGGTCTCAAAGCCGGGAGAAAAGCGCTTTGGGGTGGGCCTCTCTCAGGGCCCATGGCCCTGAGCCTGGGGACCAGCTAGGGGGTCCACACTCCCAGGCCAAGGCAGAACCACATGCACACGTCTGTTCCTGCCCCCTGCACCTTCAGAGAGCTCGGCTGAGCCGCGGTCTCTCAGGCAGTTCCCTGGCAGCCCCGGCAGCACTGCCTGTGTGGGAAGCGGGAGAGCCGACCTAGGTGCACTGTGGGCCCCTTGCTCTCCCTGCTGCCCTGAGGCTGCTGGGCCAAAGAGGGCTTGGCTATCTACCCCCTTTCTCCCCTCTTCCCTCTGCCAGAAGGCTCTGCCCCCGGGGCTGTTGCAGTGTGGAGACAGCCCCTGCCAGCACCTCCACTCCCAGTAGGCCTCAGCAGAGGCCTAGGCCCAGGGAAAGGCCCAGGCAGGGCTGCGTTGAGGGAGGCGCAAGGGCATGTCTGGACACACTCCCCACAGCCTGTTCCTTCATGGGGCAGTTACCCTGGAGGCCAGGAAGGCCTGGGCAAGGCTGGCCAAGAGCAGGGGCATTGCTGGGTTCTGCCTCTGGCCTGTGGGGCCTCTGAGCAGGACCTGCCCTCTCCCTCTGGAAGACCTCCCCGCCTGCGTGCAAATCCCCGTTTGCAAGCACTCTGGCCGGGTGTTCCCGCAAGGCTCGCACTCTGGTCTCAAAGCCGGGAGAAAAGCGCTTTGGGGTGGGCCTCTCTCAGGGCCCATGGCCCTGAGCCTGGGGACCAGCTAGGGGGTCCACACTCCCAGGCCAAGGCAGAACCACATGCACACGTCTGTTCCTGCCCCCTGCACCTTCAGAGAGCTCGGCTGAGCCGCGGTCTCTCAGGCAGTTCCCTGGCAGCCCCGGCAGCACTGCCTGTGTGGGAAGCGGGAGAGCCGACCTAGGTGCACTGTGGGCCCCTTGCTCTCCCTGCTGCCGTGAGGCTGCTGGGCCAAAGAGGGCTTGGCTATCTACCCCCTTTCTCCCCTCTTGCCTCTGCCAGAAGGCTCTGCCCCCGGGGCTGTTGCAGTGTGGAGACAGCCCCTGCCAGCACCTCCACTCCCAGTAGGCCTCAGCAGAGGCCTAGGCCCAGGGAAAGGCCCAGGCAGGGCTGCGTTGAGGGAGGCGCAAGGGCATGTCTGGACACACTCCCCACAGCCTGTTCCTTCATGGGGCAGTTTCCCTGGAGGCCAGGAAGGCCTGGGCAAGGCTGGCCAAGAGCAGGGGCATTGCTGGGTTCTGCCTCTGGCCTGTGGGGCCTCTGAGCAGGACCTGCCCTCTCCCTCTGGAAGACCTCCCCGCCTGCGTGCAAATCCCCGTTTGCAAGCACTCTGGCCGGGTGTTCCCGCAAGGCTCGCACTCTGGTCTCAAAGCCGGGAGAAAAGCGCTTTGGGGTGGGCCTCTCTCAGGGCCCATGGCCCTGAGCCTGGGGACCAGCTAGGGGGTCCACACTCCCAGGCCAAGGCAGAACCACATGCACACGTCTGTTCCTGCCCCCTGCACCTTCAGAGAGCTCGGCTGAGCCGCGGTCTCTCAGGCAGTTCCCTGGCAGCCCCGGCAGCACTGCCTGTGTGGGAAGCGGGAGAGCCGACCTAGGTGCACTGTGGGCCCCTTGCTCTCCCTGCTGCCGTGAGGCTGCTGGGCCAAAGAGGGCTTGGCTATCTACCCCCTTTCTCCCCTCTTCCCTCTGCCAGAAGGCTCTGCCCCCGGGGCTGTTGCAGTGTGGAGACAGCCCCTGCCAGCACCTCCACTCCCAGTAGGCCTCAGCAGAGGCCTAGGCCCAGGGAAAGGCCCAGGCAGGGCTGCGTTGAGGGAGGCGCAAGGGCATGTCTGGACACACTCCCCACAGCCTGTTCCTTCATGGGGCAGTTTCCCTGGAGGCCAGGAAGGCCTGGGCAAGGCTGGCCAAGAGCAGGGGCATTGCTGGGTTCTGCCTCTGGCCTGTGGGGCCTCTGAGCAGGACCTGCCCTCTCCCTCTGGAAGACCTCCCCGCCTGCGTGCAAATCCCCGTTTGCAAGCACTCTGGCCGGGTGTTCCCGCAAGGCTCGCACTCTGGTCTCAAAGCCGGGAGAAAAGCGCTTTGGGGTGGGCCTCTCTCAGGGCCCATGGCCCTGAGCCTGGGGACCAGCTAGGGGGTCCACACCCCAGGCCAAGGCAGAACCACATGCACACGTCTGTTCCTGCCCCCTGCACCTTCAGAGAGCTCGGCTGAGCCGCGGTCTCTCAGGCAGTTCCCTGGCAGCCCCGGCAGCACTGCCTGTGTGGGAAGCGGGAGAGCCGACCTAGGTGCACTGTGGGCCCCTTGCTCTCCCTGCTGCCCTGAGGCTGCTGGGCCAAAGAGGGCTTGGCTATCTACCCCCTTTCTCCCCTCTTCCCTCTGCCAGAAGGCTCTGCCCCCAGGGCTGTTGCAGTGTGGAGACAGCCCCTGCCAGCACCTCCACTCCCAGTAGGCCTCAGCAGAGGCCTAGGCCCAGGGAAAGGCCCAGGCAGGGCTGCGTTGAGGGAGGCGCAAGGGCATGTCTGGACACACTCCCCACAGCCTGTTCCTTCATGGGGCAGTTTCCCTGGAGGCCAGGAAGGCCTGGGCAAGGCTGGCCAAGAGCAGGGGCATTGCTGGGTTCTGCCTCTGGCCTGTGGGGCCTCTGAGCAGGACCTGCCCTCTCCCTCTGGAAGACCTCCCCGCCTGCGTGCAAATCCCCGTTTGCAAGCACTCTGGCCGGGTGTTCCCGCAAGGCTCGCACTCTGGTCTCAAAGCCGGGAGAAAAGCGCTTTGGGGTGGGCCTCTCTCAGGGCCCATGGCCCTGAGCCTGGGGACCAGCTAGGGGGTCCACACTCCCAGGCCAAGGCAGAACCACATGCAC